CCCCCCTGGACCCCGGCTGGGAGCCCGCATCGAGCCCAGGGGGCCGCCCCCCCCCCTCCCCCCGAGGGGGGTCTGGTCTGCGCCGGGCCCCCGCCGCACCTGCTCCAGCAGCTGGATGGTCCCGGCCTGCTCATCCAGCTCCTCCTCCTGGTCCTTGACCTTCGCCTCTAGGTCCCGCAGCTGCTTCTTCACCTTGGCCAGGGAGGCCTCGTCCTTGGACTCCTGGGAGGAGACGTCTTGGAGCTCGGCCTCCAGGGCTTCCACCTTCTGGCTGAAGCTCATGATGTCGGAGTCTTTGTCCTGGAAGAGAGTGCAGGGAGAGCCCGCTGAGCCGGCTGCACCGAGCGCCCAGCCGCGGCCCCGCCGGCGAGGGGCAGGGAATGGGGTGGCCGTTCTCCTCACCTCCAGCTGCTGCTTGAGGCTGAAGACCTCTGTGATGAGCATGTCCTTCTCCCGACTCAGCTTCTCCCGCAGCAGCTTCTCTCGCTGGGCTTCTTCATGAGCCTGAGCGAGCTCGCTGTCAAACCTGCAAGACACCCACGGCCAGGCCGTCAGCTGTCCGCACGCCAGCTCGGCTCAGGCACCAAACCCGCCCCGTGCCGGGGCGCCCTCCCCCAGCATCTGCCCGTCACTGCCCCAGGCAGGATCCGGGCGGGACGAAGCCGAGACCGGCTGGGGCAGCAGCTCCTGCTGAGAAGGTGCACCTGGCTCCAGCCCAGAAGGGCACGCATCTTTCCCCACCTCCCAGCCTGGGCCTCCCAGGAGATTCCCAGCCGGCACTGAAGCCCTGGGGAGCAGGGGCTGATCAACACCAGGCCGTGGTCCCTGTGGACAGGCAGCTAAGCACCTTCCTTCTGGGAAGAAGGCCATGGTGCTAACGCAGCCAGGACAGAGCCACGACAGCCTGAGGGTGTTCAGCGTGGGAGGCGGGTGCAGCATCACCTCCTTCCTGCTCAGCTCTGGCCTGTCACTGCCTAGTCCGCTGGCAATGCCGATTCCTGGAGCCGTGCAGGGAGCCGGCCCGCACCGGACAGCCAGGAGAGCCATGGGCGACAGCAGATGCGCCGTGGAGCAGGACAGTGTCCTGGCCAGATGCACGAGGCCAGGAAAGGAGGGAAATGCCTCTGAGGGTGCGTGGACCCTGGGAGCTGGGGGGAGAGTCCCAGCTCGAGAAGATGACCCCGCGCGACCTCCGGGTGAGCAGCAGGAGGGGTCGCTGCTGAGCATGTGCCTAGGGTCTGTGATGGGCACATACTCGGGGCAGCTAGCCCCTCCCTCTGCCACGGCGCCGCTCTCTCTAACTCGTCCAGGTGCTGATCCTGGCCACCCCAGGCAGCGCAGAGAGCAGATCCCCGGGGGGGGCGCATCACCCTCTGGGAACAGCCCCTGCTGACTGGCCAGAGGGGGCCCGAGGCTGGGAGAAGACAAGAGCTGATCAGGCCCCCATCTCATTGGTGGGCCCCCATCCCCGCAGTACCCTCAGGGGAACTGTTTCAAAAGCGGCACCGTGACTCAGGGCACGTCTACACTGGAGCTGCAGCCGTACAGGCCCTAGCGCCGATCCAGCACGATGTGCCTGGGGTGTCGGACGGGAGCGTGCCGAGCCCACCTGGCCGCCCGTAGCACGCTCGTTCCATCGGACTGGGAATCACCCCCAGCTGCCCGGAGATGTTCCCGCAGGAGCCCAAGGCTGAAAACGGACGTAGGCTCCTAAGTCCCTCGGGCCCATCAGAAAAGGTCACTCCAAAGACACACGGCGAGTCCACGGCTGAGCCGGGAACTGAGCCCGGGTCTCTCTCGCCAGAGGCCACTGGGCTGCCTCACGCCCACCTGCTGGCTCTGCCTCTGGGGCTGGCAGTGGTCTGGCAGCAGGGCACATTCCAGCAGCCCCCTGCAGTGTGCCCTCCAGCTGGGCCGGGGGGGGAGGAGTGCCCACTTCGTGCCCCACGCTGCTCACCTCCGCTGCTTCTTCTCCAGCTCGTGGCTGCGCCCCTGCTGCCCCTCCAGGTGCAGTTTGGTGTCCTGCAGCTCCGCCGTCAGGCGCTGACACTTCTTCCTCAGCTGCTGCAGGGCACGCTGGCACTCCTCGTTATCGGCCTGCAGATCCGCCAGCTGCGGGGGGGGGCACGGATTAGGGCTCTGCAGGGGGAGGAGGCTGGGCATCCCATCGCCGCCACTCAACCTCCCGACTCAGCCACGGAGCCTTTGGGGTGAGCCCCTTCCCTGGCGGGGGGGGATGGGAGGGGAGGGTGAGCAGACAGCCTCTGTCCGGCCCGGGCTCTAGGCAGGTGACGTTAGGAGTGGAATATCTCACTGAAAAGTGACAGGGCCAGAAAGAGTTAATTACCTCCCAGACTGCCCTGACCCATGGCCCAACTTCAGAGACTGGTTAGGAAGACAGGTAAATGCATAGAGCTTTGAAATGCAGCCGGCATTGTTACAGAGAGGAAGGGAGCTGTTTGCTCAGATCTTGTGATGTAAGCAAATAAGTCTTGTCTATTGCTATAGCTTTAATTCAAAGATCAAAAAAGGAATATTAACATTTATGACGACACTTGAGCGAAATAGTATTATTGTCTCTATGTCTCTTTGAAGGTTGTGATAAACTGTATCTGAACTGTTTAACGGATAAATTACACTATGCTAATTGCCAGGATATTTGGGAGACAGAAGATTAAGCTTATTCTCTCAGGCCGAGAGGCTGCTGGAAAATGTATAAAAACCCTGGGACACCATCCTATTTTATCTCAGATCTGCTTTGGGTTTCAAGAGGGGGAAACCTTAAGCCACAAGAACTGAGATCCCCAGTCACTGACTGGAGTCACCCTGAATATGGACATTGGACTATAAGCTATGGACTATTTCTAAGAGGAATTTTGGCAACTACAAAGCCTCTGCTATGTATCTGAACCTCAAGAATTGAATTCAACTCTGTCTGTATATTGATCTTTTAACCAACACTCTCTCTCTTTTCTTTTTTAATAAATTTTAGTTAACAAGAATTGGCTCTAAGCGTGTATTTTGAGTAAGATCTAAGTTATAATTGGGCCTGGGTATGTGGCTGATCCTTTGGGGTTGGAAGAACCTTTTCTTTTATATGATGAGATAAGATTTTCAGTAATTATCATCATATCTGACGTGTGTGTCTGGACAGAGGCCTGAGGCTGGGCACTTTAAGGGAACTGCGTTGTTTGGACTTCTGAGTAACCAGGCTGTTTTGGGCTGGTTGGTAAATCTAAGTATTGGAATATCCACCAGCGTTTGGGGTTTGTCTGCCCCGTTCTCTTTGCCCTTCACCCTGAGTGACCCCAGCTGGCTCCCACGGGCACCACCGTCACAAGGCACTGCACGGGGGTTAATGGAGCCAGCAGCGCTGGCAGAGAGGCTGAGTTCTGAGTCCCCCAGTGAAGGAGATGCTGGGGCGGAGGGAGGTCACCGGTGCACGTGTCACACCCCTGGCAGGGCTAGGCACACTCACTCTTCTCTCCTGCTGCCTCTTGTTCTGCTGCTCCACCTCCAGCTTATCCTCAAACTCCTGCTGCACGCGCTTCTTGGTGAAATCCACCTCGCGGATGGCTCGCTCGTACTTCAGCCGCCACTCGCTGCCTGCGGGAGGGAACCGGAGCCCTGGGCTGAGCAGACCCCAGACTGGGCTTGCGGAGCACACGGAACAGGGCGGGGGGAAGCGGGGGCATCGCTGCTGCTGCTGCCACGTGTGCTGAAGGCGGATGGTGAGAGCCCCCCCAGGGGGCAGGGGGTGACACCGAGCATGGATCGGGAATGTCACCTGCCCAGGGCGCAGAGTGAGATGGGTGATGCGCCCCCGTGTGTGGAGATGGAGGGGAGCGGAGGGCAGGGAGCGAGAGGGGGCTCTAGGGGGTTCCGGGGGGCTGCCTGGGGCAGGCCAGCACCTGAGTCTTCGTCGTCGAGGTCCCCATTGAGCTCGGCCGCCCGGATGAGTCGCGCCTCCATCACTTCCATTTCCATGGAATCCATCTGCTTTTTCAGCGACTCGTACTTGGCCTGGGAGGGGGAAACAAGGCTCAGGGCGGTGCAGAGGGGTGGAGCAGGGCACCAGGCCCAGGTCGGCGCCAAGGGGCGGAGAGGGGGTTTGTGGGAAGGCACAGGGGGCATTCCCAGACCGGGGGGGAGGGGCAGGGCAGGGCAGGGGGAGCAGGTGGCTGGTGTTCAGGCACAGGGGGCAGTGCCAGACCAGGGGGAGCAGGGGGCCACTGCCAGTGTGCGGCTGGGTGTCCTGCTCCAGGCTCCCACAGCCCAGCGAAAAGAGGCCGCTCACGGAGGGAACGGTGGAGTGTGCCGGCCGCCAGCCCCCCTTGGACACAAGAGACACTCACCTGCAGATCCTTCATCTCCTTCTCCGCCCGCAGCCGCTCGGCCGTCTCCGCATCCAGCAGCTGGGAGGCCGACTCGCCCGTGTGCCGCTCGTCCGTCAGCTCCGCCGTGAGCTCTGCCACCTGGGGAGCAGCAGAGCCAGGCTGAGCGGGTGCCATGGCTGGGGTGGGGGGAAGGGGCAGTGCCCAGGGATCGCAGCGAGGCTGGGCCTGGCCACGGGGACCTGCACAGGGACCAGGAAAGGGAACCACCCCTCTGCCCTGCACCCCCAGGCCACGCAGCGAGCCGGGGCAAGCAGCTGGCCCCGCGCCCACGTGCCCGGCCGGACGTACCCTGTTCTCCAGCCGGTCGCTGCCCAGTCGCAGCTCGTTGCGCTCTCTCTCCACCTTCTCGAGCCTGCCCTTCAGCTGCTGGATCTCCTCCTGGAGCAGAGACGGTAATGAGGGGGGGACAGGGCTGGGGCAGCAGGGCCCCCAAGCAGCAATGAGGGGGGGACAGGGCTGGGGCAGCAGGGCCCCCAAGCAGCAATGAGGGGGGGACAGGGCTGGGGCAGCAGGGCCCCCAAGCAGCAATGAGGAGGCATCACCAGTCCGGGGGGGCAGGGAGCCCAGGGCTGGGATAGCAGAGTCCCCCCAGGCTGCAGGAACTGAGCTGTTAATACCTGATGCCAGTTTGGGGGTCTGAGCCCCCCACGCCAGCAGGGCTGGAGCCCCCAGGGCTTGGAGGGGCACGCAGGGGGCTGGGGCTCTCTGTGCCGAGCACTCTGCACGGCCTTTCCCGCAGCCTGGTCTACGACAGGCTGTCGCTTTCCAACCCGTCCTTGGAGTGCCCCCCCCCACCTCCTCACATCCCCCACGCGGAAGGGGCAAGGGCCAGTTTCCCACTTGCACTCCCCTTCCCCGAGCGGCTGCGAGGTCCTACGCACGTCTTTGCCCCGGATCTGGTCCTCTGTCAGCTGCACCTCGATGAGGGGCCGCACCGTGGTGAAGAGCTTCCACCAGCGCCAGTCCTTCACCCCCTTGTTCTTCTTGATGTTCTTCTGCACGCAGCGGATAGCCAGCTCCTGGATCTGGGGAGAGCAGCCCGGGTCAGGGCAGCCCCACCCTGCACCGTGTCTGCCCCCGGGGGAGCCAATCCCCCGTGGAGAACACGGAGACCTGGGGCCCTGGCCCGGGGGGAGTGGGAGGCATTGCCTGCTGGGGGCCTGGCGGAGCAGAGCCCCTGCCTGCCCGCACAGCCGCTCCTGTCCCCCTCCTTCGAACAACTGCACCTGGTTTCTCCACTGCTGGATGAATCCCAGCCCCCGCGCCCCACGCAGCCATCAGAGCTACTCCTGTGGACACGCCCGCCAGCTCTGCTTTATGGACCCTTCAGTAACACAAGGAAGAGCTGACACAGCTACTTAATCTGAATGGCAGAGCCGCTGCCCCGCAGAGCCGCACACAGCCCCCCTTGCGGTGCAGCGGGTGCCAGCTTGTACCCGTAACGTCGGCTCCTGGCTCCGGCGGGCTGCAGCCTGGAGTGCACAGAAGCCAGCGGGAGATACCTCCTCCTCCCCAGCCCCCACGCAGCCCTTCTGCCCGGCTCCTCACGGGGGGGCGGCTGTCGGCACGCTGGGACCGCACCGGAGAGCAGGAGCGGCTCCGTCTTCTCCGTGGCGGGTGCCCCGCAGGCAAGCTCCCCCCCGGGGGAAGCCCAGCTCGGAGGGGGCGGCGCTGAAGGCAGAGCTGCCCATTTTAGGCGAAGTCATGCAGCTGTAAACGGGAAGAGGAACGTGGGGGGGGCGGGCAGGCTGCCCTGCTGAATACCTTTCTCTTCTTGAACTGCTGGCGCGCCAGGAAGCCCCTGCACGCAGCCTGGAAGAGTGCAATGTTCTTGCTCGTTTGCTCGTCTCGCTGCTCCTCAAGCTTGGCCAGGGTCCCTGCCCGGAAAAACACCTGTGGGGGAGGAGAGCAGTGAGCAGAGCCCCGGGGGGCACAGTGCAGTACAGCTCAGTGCCTCTTTTCTCACATCGGCCACTCTCCGAGCCAGCCCGGCCCACTTGGGGGAGCAAGCAGCCCCCAGGCAGGGCAGGCTAAGGAGGCGTGTGTACAGAGGGGCCCAAGCATGGGAGGGGGAGCCGGAGCGCGGAGGGGATCCGCGCAGCTGCCAGCACCCGGCAGAGCCGCCATGGGGACAGCATGGCACACGAGGCCAGAGGCTGCGCAGTCTTCCCCCCTGCTCCCTGCAGCACGCTCCCTCTGCCTCTCTGGGCCGCGCTGCTCCCCCAGGCTCACCTCCCCGAGACCAGACTGCCCTGGGCTGACCCCTGCCACCCGAGTCCAGCGGCCCAGCCCTGCAAAGCTGGAGGCAGAGATATAGGAGTGACCCCCGCTTGGCTGGCCTCACGGACAGAACAGCTCCCCTGCCAGCTTGCTGCCTGCAGGCAGCCTCGGCCACTGCCCTGGGCTACGATGTGCAGCCAGACCACCCCCAGCCCCTCTCCCGCTGGGGCCAGGCAGGCGCCGCGCCCCGGAGATGGGCTGCGACTAATGCCACCGCTGGAGCCTGATCGGCACCTGTGTGCTTTGGGCCAGGTGCAGCTGTGGCTGCGGAGCAGACAGACGGGGGGATGGACGGCTGGGGAGCAGATGGGGCGATAACCCGCCCCAGGGGGCCTGCAGAAGGCTGGTCTGTCAGGCCGGGCCATAGGCAGTGCAGTCAGCACTCCTCTGCCCTCGCTCCAGCGCAGCGTCTCCCATCACCCCCGGCTCAGGCCCCAGACACCCCTAGGTAACAATAACCCAGAGGAGTCACTGCAGAGCGAATGCGTCTGTCTGACAGCAATGGCTGCGACGCCCCGTCTGCAGACCCGGGGTGGGGGGTACCCGGTGCTGGGCTAGGAGAACGTGAGACGTTCACTTCCACCCCCATGCTCTCCAAGGCCCCGGCTGTCTTCTCACATGAGCCACGCGGCACAGAGCGGCCTGGCCTCTGCCAGGAGACTAGCTGGCCCTTTGGGTCTGCGGTGCCACCCCAGACCAGGGAGAGGTGCCCGTCCCTGACGGAGGCCCCTGCACCATGAAACGCCAGTCGCACCTCGCAGTCGGTGCCATGGAGCAGGCCTCAATACCATGTGGTCCTGGCGCTCAGCCCTCCAGCGTCCCCCGCTCCTGAGCAGGGGAGACACCCCCCCCCGGCCGCTGGCTCTCTGGCCCCGGGTGGGGAGCAGCAGGCACCGTGGCCGGGCAGAGCTCGCCTTCGGCCCCCTGGAATGCCGCGGGCGGGACGGGCAGACACAGTTCCTCCTGTCCCAGCACCCAGCGCGGGGAAGCCCGACGCCCGGAAAGACAAGGAAGCCTTTGTCTCCTGGAGCTGCCGGGCCTCCCGGCCCCCTTCCCACGCTGCACTCAGCGCATCGCTCAGCCAGCCTGACCCCTCCAAACAGGCCACGCTCCCACCGGGCTGCATCTGCCCCAGACTGTGCCCAGAGCAATGCACCCCAAGAATCCCCTGCTCCCCCCCCTGCACTGACCTCACGGGTCTGGGGAGCAGGGCAGGGGAGAGGGATGCTAGTCCCCAGGGGGGCTCGCAGGTGTCTGAGCTGCCGCTGTGAATGCTGGGGCCTGAGCTCTTGCATGACTCGGCTCTGGGGCGAGATGGCTGCTGCGTGGCCCCCCCATCCCCATGCTCAGACACTCAGAGCTGGGGGTGCCAGCGAGCAGCACCCCATGCCCCCAGGGCCAAGCAGAGATCCTCTGCTGCTCTCAGTACACTGCAACCCAACTCACATGCTCCCTGGTGCCACTGCCAGAGCGGGGGGGGGACGGGAGACAAGGTCCCAGGGCCAAGCAGCCCTCCCCACAACCCCAGCCCCATGCTGGGGGCCACCGACGGGGCATGGATGAGAGACACGGACGCCTCAGGGCTGCAGCCTGTGTCCCCGGCAAGGTGCCCGACGGCCCAGCCACCACACGAGGTTCCGGGAAGCAGCCCGGGCTGAGTGGCCTGGAGGAGGCGCAGCGAGCCGGCCTGCCTCGGTGCGGCTCTGCAGAGGGAGCAGTGCGTTTGTGTCGGTGCCAGGTGCCCACAGGGACTCGGCCCAGTCTGCTGGGAATGTGACTGGCTCTGAAGTGCTGTCAGCCTGGCTCCGGCTCTGCTGCGATCCCCCAGCACGCACCACGGCCGGGGGCCCCAGAGGTGCATTGTACAGCGGGTGTGTGACTGGTTTCACCTCCCTGAGGGGCCTCGCTGGGGCGAGGGGCTGCGCAGAGCCCGGGACAGTCCCCGAGGGCTGGCTGGGAATGGCAGGAACGCCCGGAGGCTTACCCGGCTCAGGCCCATGTGGTAACTGCTCTTCTCGAGGTCCAGCGATTCCAGGAGCTCTTCCACAGCCTGCAGGGACAGTGGGAGTCAGCGTTGGGGCGGGCGGCTCAGCTGCAAGGAGGCTTGGCGGGAGCGCCCGGCCGCGCTCGCTGAGCTAGAGCTCGACACTGCTAACAAGCCCTGCTGAGAGCAAAGGGGCACCGAACGCAGCGGGCAGCAGACACGCCCCTATCCCCCCCAGCAGGGCACGTGCCCTCTGCACTCAGGGGACTCCCTCTCGCACGCCCAGCCAGTATGCCACACGGGCTGTCTCCAGGGAGAGCTGCTTGCTCCCCGAGCAGGCACGTGCTGCCAGCTCCGAGGTGCAGCGAGCGCCGTCCCAGCCCCAGGGCCCACGTGCTCTTCTAGGGGGAGGAGAAGGAGGTCACGGCTAGTCAAGGAAGCCTTTGTCTCCTGGAGCTGCCTGGCCTCCTGGTCCCCTTCCCACGCTGCACTCAGCGCATCGCTTAGCTTCCCCGCTGCCCACGCAGCCAGCGCCCAGCCACCAGCCAGCCTGGCCACGGGACACACTACATGGTAGGCAAGGGCTGGAGAGGGGCTGCCTGCCTGCCCCCCCCTTCTGCAACCTGCCTACGCAGTCCTGGCAGGCTGCCTGCTGGGTTCAACACTCGCCCAGTGCTTAGCGGTGAAGCAGGAAACACGGCCCTCGCTGGGGACCAGAGCACAGCAGCCAGACCAGGCGCTTCACGCGTCTCCATCCTGCGTTCCCGTCACCGACTAGAGCCCTCTCCCGGCCAGGCGTCAGCAATGCCGCCAGCTAGACCCCCCTGCGAGGGCGAAGGTCCTTGCCAGGCTGCACGGCTGGGCTCAGGCCTATGGGGAGCCCCCAGCAAAACCCAGCCCATGGGATCAGTCCTCTCCCCCGCAGAGCGCGACCAGCACCAAAGCCCAGTGCGGAAGAGCCAGCTCCCCACTCTGTGAAACACGCTGCGCTGCGCTGCGCTCCTGGGGGCTCTGGGACAGCAAAGCCCCTCTGTGTACAAGGCCCTGCCTGGTCTCACAGCAGCGGGAACCCCACCACTCGCTGCATGACCTGTCCCTCTCCATCCTCGACTGCGGCACTGGACACAGACTGTCTCCCTGCCACAGCCACCGACAGCTCCTTGGGGGGCTCCGGCCCTTCCCACATCCCCATCCAGGACCTAGCACAGGGGCCATGGGGAGCCATGACAAACTACACGCCACTTGCCGGGAACAGAGAGGAGCAGGGGCACACACCAGCTGCAGGAGCTCTTCAAAAGAGGAGGGTCGGCTGCAGTAGGCTCCCTTTCTCAGCTGAAGGGAAGGTGCCCTGGCTACACTAGGCTCCGGGGGCACTCCTCTCACCATTCTCTAGCATGGGCACTTCCAGGGGCAGCATGGCCCAGGCAGAGAGCACTGCCTGGCACTCAGAAGGGCTGGGCTCTAGGCAAGTCTTTGGGCAAGTCACTGCCCATCTCAGTCTCCATTTCCCCACCCGCCCCATGTCTGCGGCGAGCTCTTCGGGGCAGGCAGCACCTGGCACAGTGATCTGGGCACTGCCATCACGCGGCCTGCCCGCTCCGACACGCACCCGTTTCTCGTCTGTGACGATGTAATTCCGCCCGTGTTTCTTGGTCAGGTGAGGGGCCAGAACGTCGAAGCGCCGCCGGAACTCCGAGAAGACCATGTGATCCGGGTAACCTGGGGGCAGAGCACAGGAAAGCGGGCATGTGCCTTGGCCCCTGGCGTGGGAAGGCAGAGACTCAGGAGCCTGCAGGAAGGAGCTGGCGGCGGTGGTGTGCACAGGCTGCCCCTTCCAGCCCCGCCTCACCCAGCACCAGCCCGCAGAGCCGCGCGAGGACAGCAGCCCCACCGGGAGCCCCTGAGCATGGGAAGCAGTTCCTATGTCCCGCTGCCACAAGGCACTGGGGGGAGCCAGCTGGGCTATGAAGCCCAGGGGAAGATCCTGCCTGCCCGGAGCCCTCGCCCTCCAGGGGCTCTGGGCTTGCCCCTCCCCAGGCCTCGCGGTGCAGGGACAGTCTGGCAGCATCTTGGGCAGGACGCTGGAGATGCAGAGACCCCTCATGCCCAGCACGCAGGGCCACCCACCCAGGACATCCACACACTGGCTCTCCAGACTGCACCTCTCACCCAGCCCTCTGCCAGCCAAGGCTCAGGCACACGGCTGCAGCGGGTGCTGGCTTTTGGGAGCACCATGCCGCGCACCCCAGCGCGAGGGGAGTGCCCTGCCCGGAGCCCACCGGACGGGATGTGGCCCAATGGGCTCGTTCCCTGCGGAAAGGCCAGCGGCAGGGAGGGGAACAGAGGGCTAAACTACACATAGCCACTGAAGTGCAGCCACCTGTGAAGTGGAACCTAGCAGCTGTTTCAGAACAGCACCAGAGCCACCCAGGCAATTCCTTGCCGTTGCGGAGGGTGAGGGGCCCCATTGCAGTCCTAGGGCAAGAGGCAGGTGAGCGCCTGGAGATGCAGGGTCTCCTGCTGTGACTCCAGCAGCTCGTTCAAGTCCCGCAAGGTGAGGCAGGGGCGGCACTGGGGAGGGAGGCCCCTCTCCCAAGTCATCGGACAGAGCCGCAGGAGGGCTGGCGTGGCACACAGGGTGTTACCCCTGCGGAGCGCACCAGCACCTCGCACAGCATGCTGGTGAACGTGTCCACGCCCAGCTCTCGGCAGGGGCAGGCACCAGCCAACCACACCACCCCAACAGCTGCCAGGGCCTGGCTGTTTCTCAAAGGTGATTTTACGCAGCCCTTGCTTGGCAACATTGGTTGTGGCTTTCTGCCAGTTCCGGAGAGAAACCAGCTGACCGCCTGACTTGGGACAGGGCTGAGGCGAGTGTGTGTAACTGGATCAAGTGACCAGGGATCTTATGAACAGACCCTGCTCTGGACTGTCCCTGGACTGTAATTAATTGATGTGCAAAGATTGCGGAGTTGATGCTTCACATCTTAATTCATCATCGGCGCTATCGATGGGGCGCTGAGCCTAGCACAGCCCAGGCGGCCGCGGGCCATCGATCCCGGGCTGTGCGAGCCACATTGATTTTGGTTCAGAGCAGTAATCTGGCTTTGAAATAATAAACACCAACTCCAGGGCAGGGTGTCTGTGCTGATCAATAGATGAGGTCTCATTCTCTCCCCGGCCGAGCAGGGAGCAGCCCACCTGCAGAGTCAGCACTGACCAGTTGTAGCCCATTTCGTAATTAGGGAAAGGAGCGGAGAGCCCTGCAGAGCAAAGGCCTCTCCCCACAGAGCAGGCACAGCCGAGGGAGCAGCGCTGGCTCACCCACACTCCTCTGCTGCCCCGCACCGTGACCTCAGAGCGCCTCCCACATGGCCCAGAGTTCTCTTGTGCTCTGTGGCTTGGGAGGCAGGAGCAGGCACTGCTCTCTGGGAGTGGGGCTCAGCCCCCCAGGCCTGTCGCGGCACAGGGCAGGTGGGCTGTTCGCCCGGAAGGCAGCTCTCCTGGGAAGTCACAGGGGCAGACCCATGAGCGTGACCTGCTGTCTCCAGGGATAAAAAGGAGCTTGTTCTCCAGGAGCCAGGTCAGTTCTTAGCGCCTTTACCAAGGCTGCCCCCTGGCATTAACTGGCCCCTGCTGTGATGTGGGCCCCTGCGCCCTAGGAACTGAGCTGGGCCCCACTGGGTGCCTGGCTTACAAGCAAGGTGAGAGTCACATGCCTCCTTCCTGGGGGGAGGAAGGGAACGCCCCAGTATTTAGCCTGGAATCCAGTTAAGGGATTTGCCACCTCTTCATTGTCCACAGCTCAGAAAATTCCCATCCGGCTTCCCTGGTCCCTGAGGGCAGCGCCCGCCCTGGCACAGCTGCACTGAGTGCTAGCAATGGGCAGCGGTGGGACCCATTACCTGCAGTGCTGGAGGACCAGTCCCTGGGCCCCTCTCTGCATCCCACAGGCACAGGGTCCCTGCTCGCGTCTCTGGCCCTCCCGAGCATACCGCAGTGAAGTCCAGCCTGCTCGTTAGGATCTGGGTGCTGGGTCTGCACCCCATTGCTCCCGCAGAACAGGCCTGGGCCCGCCGCCCCGGAGGAGAGCACAAACCTTGCCGGTACATGCGCAGTGCGTCGAGGAGCCGGGAGCCCCTGACCTGGGCCCTCAGCAGGGGCACGTCAAGCTGCATGAGCCCCGCCTCACAGTGCTCCCCATGCAGGTCCAGCTCGCTGCTGCTGATCCGCCGCGCCGCCGGCCCCTTGGGGTCCCCGCTCCAGCCCTCCGCTTTGGGCAGGAGGCAGTGCACAAAGTGGATCTTCGACTTCTTGATGGTGTCAACCAGAGCATCCTGGGGGCAGGGAGAGGACGGCTCAGCCTGGGCGTGCCGGGGGCTCGGGCATGGCCTTCACCCCATGTGGCAGAAGCTGGGGTGAGGGACCTTGGGGCAAAAGGAGAAACTGCCCCTCGGATCAGTTATGATCCTGCAGCTTTGTCTGGGGAGAGCAAAGCCCCTGCAGCCGGAGTTTGCTGCAGAGCGCATAGTGCCATCAGGCTGGGGGGCAGGGGCAGTCTAACCCCACCAGTGGCGTTACCCAGCAGCTCCCACGTCTCTGCACTGGGGCCGAGCAGCCAGTCGCTCGCTGTCTAACCCTGCGCATGCAGCACGAATGGCAGATGCTGGGTCCAGCCCCGCTCCTGCAGGGACCCCAGTACCTGCTGCCAAGGCTACTGGGGCATGCAACAGAGGCTGTCCCAGCAAATGGGAATGGACCAGATGGCAGAGGGGAACACCACCCCTCCAGGGCCCGCGGGCACAGGTGTGCAGCGAGGGTGGGGGGACAAAGGGAGCCCTGCCAGCAGGAGAAGGGGGAGACGGGCACCCACGGCCTGGCTATTTGGGCAGGTCACTTCGGCATTGCCTCCTGCAGCCAGGCCCAGGAGCAATGCCTGTGAGCAGCGCAAGCCGACGATGTGTGCGCAAGGGACGGTGTGACCGGCAGAGCCAATATAAAGCAGCGGGGCCGCGAAATGGGTGGGACAGTGCTTAGGGCAAATGGCTGGGCGCAGGGATTCCCGCGGGCTCCTAGCTCCATCCCTGGCTGTTGCCCACCTGTGGGAGAACGGGGCCTGGCCCCTGGGAGCAGGGAGGGGTCACGGGCGCTGGCTCTCACTCACTCACCACTTGCAGCTTGATCTGAATGCACAGTGACTTCTTCTTCACCGCTGCCACCCCCGTGGTGAAGGTCTTGCGCATGCTGGTGGCCCTGCGCAGGGCCAGCTGGGACCCGCCTTCCAAGCCGGCGATGGAGCCCGACAGCACCATGGCCGTACCCGCCCGGCCCATAAACAGGCTGCTGATGATTTTCCTGACATCAGAGAGAGAAGGTGACCAGCCGCCCCACGCCTTTCCCTGCCATGGCCCCAGGAGGTGATGCCACAGCGACAGCAGGCTGGGCGTGGCCATTCCCGGGCACCGCACAGGGCTCAGTGCCAGGGTCTCACCTGCTCTGGGGAGCGAGGGAATGTGTGTGTGTAGCCACGGTCAGCGTATGACCTCCTGTTTGTTCTGGGTCGGCCGAGGGAGCGCACGTTATCACCCATAACCCCCGGCCCCCAGCTGAGCGGGGAGCCTGGGACACACGTGAACAGAACTGCGCGGCTGGAGTCCCACCACACACTCGGGGGGCAGGCAGCAGCAACCCCGCCGGGAAAGGCACAAAGCCAGCAGAGAGGCATCTGCGCGGGCGCTCGGAAGGGGGGCTGACAGACCCCTCCGGAAGATTTAAACATGGCGACTGCCGCCCGCACTGTCCACCTCAGGCACTGGCAGTAGGGTCAGGGGAGCCCCCTTGCTGACGATGCAGAGAAATCCCTCCGCAGCCCAGATGCCGGACTGGGCTGGAAGCAGAGGCTTGGGCCCCGGCAGCACTGCGCACACCTCCCATGGGAGAGACGGCTCAGGCATGCTAACTCTTCCCCTAGCCGTCCCTGGCATGATCATCTCACTGCTCTCGCTGCTCCACAGACCCCGAGGCGAGCAGCGCGGCACTGGGACATCACAGGCATGGATGCCTGGCGGCGATGGGAACACACGGGTCACCCGCCCTGAGGCAGAGATGTGTAATTCACAGGTTTGCAGCGAAACCAGAGAGCCTCCTGGGACCCTTTAAACCAGTACTGTAGAGCCCGGCGTGGCTCAGGACCGCAGCCCCTGTGTAACACCACAGGCAATCCGTGGCGAGAGGCCATGCCATACCCTGCCCGCAGCGTGACCCAGCCAGGGGGGCAGAATGGTGGAACGGGGCCTGAGAGGTCACCCAGCCCCTGCAACCACGTTGCTCAAAAGGAAGAGGCTGTTTCTCCCCTGCCCGGCTGCCAGGGCATGGACCAGCGCCCAGCCACCCCTGCTCAGCAGCTGCTCCTGGGGGACTGGAAATTAAGATTTTGCCCTTCAAAGAGTGTGAACCACCCCAGCAGAGCAGCCACGCCAGCCTCCCCCTCCCTGGGGCCGTGTCCTGTGCCCGCCGACCCCAGGCCCTTCCCCCCAGCCACAGCCTCTTACTGCTCAGCCGCTGCTTACTTCTGAGATTCCTGCAGGACAGCTGCGGCGTTCTGAGACGCTGGGTTCTGCCGGACATAATGCAGCCAGCCTGTGGCGTCGTACTCCACCCAGTTGGTGCCGTAGCTGTGACCCAGGAAGAAGTGGCGGGGCTTGTCGCTTCGGAGTAACGGGCTGTGGCCTGTAGGGACAGAAACCCCATTAGCGAACCGGTCCCCAGCGGGGCCAGAGATCCCCTGTCCTGGGCCAAGAAGGCACGAGGGCAGTGTTCCCTCGAATCTGTCCCACCCATGTGCACCAATATGGAGGCCATAGGATCTCCGGGGCGGCAGGATAGGCACCCCTCCCCTGGCCCCAGCAGGTCTGGGTTGGGGGAGAGCTGCTCCGGCCACGCCACCCCGGCAGGTCCAGGCCACAGGCTGAGTTGGGGCCCGGGGAGGGGCGCCCCCGGCAGGTTGGGGGCTGGGGGAGTGGCCGGTCCCCAGGGGGGTTCGCAGCACTCAATAGGCTGCTGTGCGGCCGCGCAGCTTACAGGGAACTTCGCACAAGAGCCCTGGCAAAGCTCACACACAAGGAAACAGAGGCTAAAACTCAGTGCCAGCAAGTCTCAGCGCCCAGGTCAACGGCTTCGGGCTCCTGCTGCGGGGTGCAGACGTGTCCGCTCGGGCTCGGGTCTCCAGCCCGAGCCCATACACCCAGTCGGCTGTTGCTAGCCCTGCAGCACGAGCCTGGGGTGAGCAGCACCCAACACCCCTCCGGGCCGAGCTGCCAGAGCTGGAGAGCAGCCCTTTGCACAGGACGGGAGCCTCCCCTCCCCATCTCCTGCCCAGGTGCCCCACCCTCCCCTGGAGGGGTGCATGGCCCTCCCCCTGAGCCTGCGGGGCCCTTGGGCCATGGCTCCTGGCACACACAGGCCACACGCATTGTATGTTTCCTGTACAAAGGACACAACTGGACTGAAAGCCTCCCTTCGGCGCGAGCCAGGAGTGGGGAGGGGAAGAGTGCAGAGGGCCTGGCTGGGCCTGCGGAGGGCTGACTCCCCCCTTACCTTTCTTATCTCCCTCCTGGGGCCCGTAGTAGGCGAAGAGCCGTTCCAGCAGCGTGTCCTCGTTTCCCGCAGGCTGCAAAGCCTCCTCCTCCAGCAGCCACAGGAGCCCACGGGCCTCATCCGTGCGGGCCAAGGAGCGCACCTGCAGAGACGGTCCCAACCGCACGCATCACCCGAAGCGCGTCTGCTCCCCACCCGCTGGGCACGCGGGGACTGGCAGCATGCGCCCCGGTATGCCCTGGGCCGAGAGCCCCCGGAGAGGGAGAGATCTGTCCTAGCCCCAGCCCTACGGGAGTCTGGGACACGTCAGAGCGAGTGGCAACGCCTCGCTCTGAGTAACACTTCAGAGATTCTTTGCAGAGAAAGAATCAATACCTAATACTCGAGTCAGTAAAACACGTCAGCCAGGAGCGTTCGCACCCAGACACCGACGGGCAAATCCTCCGCGCAGAGCTCAGCGAGATGCACCCACCACATCTCAGGCTGACGCTCTCCCACCCTGCCGCTGGCTGCTCCCCTGGCTTCTCACTGGGTAGCAGGGCGAGGCACCGAGGCCCTCCCTGCCTCTATCAATCTCTGCACGCACGGACCTGGGCACAGGGTGAAGCCACTCGGGTTACTCCAGGAAGGCAATTCCCGCCCTGCAGGCAGGGGGCGCTCGGTTCCCGTGGGCTCAGTGTTACTCGATGGCATGCACCCCTGGGTGCCTCACTGCCCTGGGCCTGCATTCATTTCACTCCTTTACCACTTTATGGCGTTTCCTATCGAGCCTGTGGCAAGATCTCCGTGCAGGGAGAGTCGGTTCCCCGAGTGCCCGCTGGGCCGGCGGGCAGGGCTGCTAACACAGCTGACCACCCTGCCACCTGGCGCTCCTGCACCGCAAGCCAGGCTACACAGTAAGGTCCCCCTGCCACTGCCACCCTGAGGATCAGCCTGGCTGCCCTCTTTCTCCTTGGCAAGCCTGTCGCTCCCATCCTGGCCCCATGGTGCCAGCGCACCCCAGGCAGACTGCGTCTTCCCGCTGATGCCAAGCCCTGGTCCTGCCCATTGAAACCCCGCTGGGCCTTTTCTCAAGGGGAAGCTCTTAAGAGCCGGAAATGCCACTGGGCCTCCCTAAGCTCCCTGACGCTCCAATGGGCCACAGGACCCTTTGCTTTCCAGCCTGTGCTGTTGCGCTGCGCTGTTCAAGTGCTGCTCAGTCCTGCCCCAGAGACAGCTGCCTTTCAGTGCCGGGGGAAATGACTCTACGCAGTCAGGAGGGCAGGCCCCCATGTGCCTCCCGCACCCAGCCACCAGCCCCTGGCAATGGCGCCCGTCTCCCAGGGATCTTCTATAGCCCCCCAGGCAACAGGTACTCAGCCGCACTCTCCGGCACTGCCTGGGTGATCAGGGCAGGGCCTCCCCCTGCCGTAGTCACTGCTAGCGGGGAGGAGAAGGGCCCTGGCAGCGTGGGTCTGATTCCGAAAGCTCCATAAACGACAGCAATGGATCAGCGCCGAACGCAGCCCCTCCATCGCCAGGGGAAGGGGCAGCAGCAGCTCTCAAGCCTGCTGTTCTCCTGCTTCTTCATTGGCCGAGGCATTAGCGGGAGAGGTAATTACTGGTGATGTGGCCCCACCGCCCAAATCTCCCCCCGCTTGCCTTGAGCCGTCTGCCCGGCATGATCGCCCGCCCCAGCACGTCGAGCAAAGCTGCCCGCGCTGCTGCCCCATGGCAACCCCCAGCTCGGCAGCAAATGTGGTTGGGTGGGTGGCCAGGCTCCGAGGGAAGCGGGGCCATTCCCAGCCTCGGGCACAGAGCACTGGGCGGGATGGGGCTGAGAGAGGTCTGGAGTATGGCATATGGAAGTGCAGCAGAGAGCAAAGCAAGGGGGACTGGGATCACCTCTCTTCCCCCCCAGACACTCCCAGCAGAGAACTTCCCTCAGGGTGACCCTCAGCCACCCACCCCGCAGAGCCGCCAGCAGGATGCAGGGAACCAACAGGGGGAATGGAAACAGTTCTCCCACCCGAGAGCTGGGCGGTCTGGAGACGAATGAGGGAACCGCTGGCCCTACGAGCTGATGCAGAGGCCACGGTCCACCCCAGAGAAGACGTCAGACTGGGAAGGGACGGCTGTTCCTCCCAGGAGGGGAAGAGACAGACTGTGCCTCCCCGCTGAGCCCTGCTGCCCCAGCATGGGGAGGGCCACCTCCCCGACAGCTCTGCAGACATCAGGACTAACTGCATCCCCCTGAACTGGCTCTGCCAGCAAGTGGGCAGATCAGAGCAAGCCCCGCTAACAGCGGCCTCCCCACCCAGAGCCAGAAGCCTCTCTCTGTTAGCGCCAGGTAACCAGCTGGATGAGTGCTGCTGCTACGGAGAGCTCCCAGCACGGCTGCAATCGCGTGTGACACTGGAGTTAACTTGGCATCTCCCCACCAATGTAACCCCAGGAGTGCATCTGCCAGGGGACTGAGGGGTCTCCTCTGCATGCAGGCAAAGGCAGCAGAACCTCCTGCAGGCTTCTGGGTGCTGGTGACTGGCTGGGATCCTCTGGCTGTAGCTAGGAACAAGGGAACACCCTGCTTTGGAGGGGAGCTTGGAGCCAGGCAGCCTCCCCTCACCCTGTCTGCACACAAGAAACCCCCCAGGACCCCCAGCCCAGCCCTGTCAAGATCCGGCCCAGAGCAAAGTGCAACTCCCTGTCCACTGCTTACAGGGGCCCTGCAAAGCTGCTGGCTCAGGGAGCAGGAGGTGCTCTGGCCTGGAAAGGAGCTTTCGACACGGCGGGGAGGGGAGGGGAGGGAGGAGAGACATTCTTGCCATGAAAGCCGGCATGTGCTTACCAGTGCTTGGTGTGAGGCTTGGTCTACAGTGGCTACAGAGCCAGAGGTACTGGGCTCTATGTCATCTAATGCAAGCTCTATGCTTTCCTAGAGAGGACGGACAGACGAAGGGTTAGTGCCTGTGTGACTAAAGATCACAGTTACGGGACCCAGAGAGGGTCAGTCAGTACATTAGTCTGAATAGAAACTACAGGCCATTAGACCACAGGGGTTTCCCTGGAGAGCCCCAGCCTCCCTCCCGCCGGTCAGCCCACAGCCCCGGGCTGCTCCCCATGGCGCTCAGCTCAGGAAGGGGAGTCCCTGGGGCAGGGGAGTGGGGTCACGGCCCTGGCCAGCGTGCACTATTCAGGGGTGAGCTGGGGGGAGCGGGCTGGGCTGTAATCACACCCGGGGGGCACTGCCGTGTCCTCCACCAGGGAAGGCAGAGCAATAACCAGGCAGCGTGCTGTGCGAAGGGAGTCGGCCCCCTGGGCCGCGCAGGAGGCAAAGAGCGGGAGCTCCCAAGGCTGGGTCACACTCCTCCAGGGTGAAGGCAGAGCAGCTGCCGCTGGGGTGTTTGGAAGGGGCTGGGAGAGGGCCCACGGTCCCCCATGAAGTGAGGATGGGGGGCATTGGGCAAAGCGTCCCGGGGGAGCCATCTCAAACAGACAGGGGAACTCGGCCTCCACGGTCTAGCCAATCCTGGAGTCATCACCAAAGGGTGGTTCCTGGGTCACAGACACCAGCACCCCAAGGAGCTGGGCTGAGACCCAGAGCCAGGGCCAGGAGCAACGACCACCCTGGGCTGGCTTTGCACCAGGCTCTCGCTCCCGGAGACCTCCCCAGCCTGGGGGTTCAGGGTTAGCTGGGCTGTGCACACGGGCAGTGCAGCAGAATGGGTGCACCCTTCCCACGTGGGCACTGAGAACCCGCCCAGCCGTGAGCAAAGAGGTCTGGGCCCAATTAGCCCCCTGCACTGGGCCCGACCTGGCTGGTGCACACAGCTCCCCTCCCACCCTGGGGAGTTTGCCAGGAGCCAGCCCTCCATCGCTGCCAGGGGTGACTGCAATGCACAGGGCTGCTAGCAAAGCCACCAGTGCCCAGGGCAGCGCCAATGGCAAATGGCCTGTTCCCGGGGAAACCCCTGCTGCAAGAAGCACCAGATTCAGAGCTACTGATTAGCTGAGTCCTGTCTAGGCGTGACTGCCCGAGTCACCTACAGGGTTAGAAATCAGCTGGAGTCTAGTAGATGCTAGAGCAGAGAGGAGACGGCAACACAACTAGCTAAGGAAACAGCCTCCGCTGCCCCTTCCTCACACCCTGTACAGCCCAGAGCCACCGTGCCCTGGGCAAGAGCAGCGCCCGTAGCTTCTCCGCAGCGGGGGGGCTTGCCAGACCCTCGCTGGGCTCCTGCCGGGGAGCAGGTCTCTGCCACGGGCCGAGACAGGGCTCCCTCCGGCAATACCTCCTTGTATCGCTCCAGCTCCTGAGTGAAGGTGCGCTCGTGGAACAGCGTCTGCAGCCGCTCCTGGGCGTAGTTCTGGCACAGCTCCTCAAAGCTGGCCCCGCGGCTCTGGTTTGCCAGCTCGGGGTTCTGGAAGCCCGGGGTGTCCACAAGCATCATGGAGCACAGGGAATGCTGGCTGGACTTGAGAGCCCTGCGTGTGGGGAGAAAGGGGCTAGGGCACACCAGGCTCCACGCAGGGCATGGGATCAAACCAGTGGGCCCCGGCCTGGTCCTGTGCCTTGTCAGGAGCGACGCCTGCAGCTCCAGAGGAAGACAAACGCCCCCAAATGCCCTGGCTACACGTGTGAGGTGAACCACTTCCCCCAGCGATCACACCTGGGCAGGAGGGCCCCTTTCCTGGTACCCGGCTGCCCTAGGGTAGCACTCTCTGCTGTCCTCAATGCATCAGAGCCCTGCCTGGGCCTTGCTCCTGGCCCCGGAGCACACAGCGGAGCTGCAGGGGCCGGGTGAGGAGAGCATGCCAGACCAGGTCCCTTCCCCGAAGCGGAGCACGGACAGCTCTCCCTGGCTGCCGTCTCCTGCCACCAGCCGGGGGGATGCTGAGCTCCAGCAGCAGGACAGCTTGGTGGTCTGGGCTTGGCCAACGCACACGGGGCCAGGACGGCTCACCCCAGCAGGGGGAGTGAGGCTCCTGCCCTACACCCCTCCCCCCCCCACTGCACTCTGTGCCAGCTTGGCCTCGGCGCAGGCGTACCGGTTCAGCAGCGAGATGAGCAGCGTGAAGAGCTCTGAATACAAGCCCGAGGCCAGGCCTTCCAAGCACTCCAGAGCAGTCAGCCTGGAGCCTGGGGGGAGAAATGATTCCAGAGTCAAGGCGATTGCACTCCCCCCACCCATATGCTGTGCGGCTCAGGGCCCCACTTCCTGTGCCAGGGCAGGACCGGCTCGGGGAGCTGATCCAGGGGCTCTGAGGGGGACTGGGAACGGCAGCACGTCAGTGCTACACCAGCTCCCTGGCTGACACCCGCTATAGGCCTCTGCCCTTGCCTGTCAAAAGAGGGTGGTGACTCGCGAGGGTCTGGACCCCTTGCTGACCTCAGCGGGAGATGCTGGGAAGTGGGTGGCAAGGAGTGGCTGTTTTGAGGAGGAACCTGGGGTAGGACTGGGGCCCGTCAGAAAAGGGGGTGGGATTCGGGGCCCTCAGCTGTTTTCTGGGCTCAGACCATCCTGTGTTCTTGTCCACAGCTCGGGCGGCTCCGTGCTGGGCGGGGGGAGAAGGGGCAACCCAGGTTTCAGCATGTCTAGTGAGCAGACCCAGGCAGCCTGGGCCTCAGCTCCCACATCATCACCCTCCTTGCAACCTGAAAGCAAAATGCTTCCAAAGTGACCCCGGTAACAGCCAGCACCCCCAGAATGCCAGGGCATGGAGAGGAAGGGCAGCTCGGTGCTTTGGGCGCTAGCCTGGAACTCGGGGGATGGGGCCCGATCCCTGCTCGGCCTTGGGCAGTCACAGCCACCCTGAGCCTCAGCTTCCCCCGGTACCAGGGGAACAGCCCTGCCCTGCGTCTCCCGGGGCTGGCCCTGAGGGCTGTGACGTGCTCAGACGATGGGGCCCAGCTCAATCCCATTCAGAGACTCATGACAAGGAGATGATGGGGTCCAGGGGAATCCCGCTGTCCTATGTGTTCATAGGGCAGTGCTATTGAGCTCCAATGGGATTGAGTTGGGCCCCATCGTCTGAGCGGGAACAGAACCCAGGGAGGCAAAGGGACGTGCCCAAGGTCACGCAGGCAGTCTGTGGTGGAGCAGGGAGTTGAATGAATCCAGGTCTCTCAAACTCCGGGGCAGTGTCCTAACCACTGGCCCATGCTCCTCTCCCATTTGGCTAGTTACAGACCCAGGAGGGCGTCAGCTGCAAAGGAAGGCAGACGGTCGGGGGAGGGAAGCCAGGATCCGGGCACCTGCAGGAAGTGCCATCACCTTGCTCGATGCTATCGGCTGACACCATCCGCGCCCCATGTTTGGCAGCAACCCAGTACCTGAGCCGTCTCCCAAGCCGGCTTCCTCGGGCCCCTGGCGGAAGGACGTGGATCGCTGCAGGCTCCCTTTGGGCTGGTGCTTGAAGATAGATGAAGACAGCTCCTCCAGGCTGCAGCCCAGCAGGTAAGCAGCCTTCTGGGCCCACTCGTGCCGAGCAAATTGCTTCCTTCCAGCTAGCGGGGAGGGAGAGAGTCTTAGTGCTGGGAATGCAGCCGTTCCCTGAGGGGCTGTCTAGTGTGGGGGCATCCCAACCCAGGCACGGGGCCGGCGGCAGGTGTCCTCAAAGAGCAGCAATGCCGGGGAAAGAGATTCCGTGCAAGACAAAGCAGCAGCTAGGAGTGGCTGGGGAGCGCGGGAGGGGACGTGGCAGTGTCAGGGCTCGGCGCAGCCAACCCTGCTGTCCAGCCTGGCCACTATTCACTCGCGCAGCTCGAAGAGCTCGGTGCGGAGCAGGGCAGACTGGGCCATAAGGAGCATGGAGTCCGGAGTTTGAGGAGAGGGGACTGGCGCTCAATGGCTGAGGCCGACGGCTGAGACATGCCGCCATGCTGGGATAACAGAAAGGCGCTCTCGTGTTCCCACCCAGCAGTGCCCCGAAGCCAGGGCTCCAGACAGTGCCTGCCTGGGACGGAGGATCCACCTCGGCAGGGGGTGACGCAGGGCACGTCCCTCCCCAGCGCGCCAGGGAGCTGCCCTGGATCCCAGCTGGGCTGGGTCTTAGGGCGCCTCTTGCAGAAGCGGGAGGAGCCGACCTCCTGGCAAGGCGCCGGGCAGAGCTCTCGCTGCAGCTCTTCCTCCAACCGACGCCCCCGGCCGCCTTGGGGGACGGGAAACATGGGGATGCCCGAACCCGAATGCCCCCAGCTGCCCTGGGGGGAGGGAAACGCGGGGACGCCCGAACCTGAACGCCCCCGTCCGCCCCGGGGGAGGGGAAACGCGGGGACGCCCGAACCCGAACGCCCCCGGCTGTCCTGGGGGAGGGGAAACGCGGGGACGCCTGGCACCAGGCAAGGAGCCGGGGACACACAGGGAGAGTGAGTTAATGGGTAACACGTGGAACACAGCAGTGGAGAAGCAGAGAGAAAGGAGGCTTTACCTTCGTCGGTGTCTGCATTGCCAAGGGACGGCATGCACCATGCAAACAAAAACAGGGGGTTAGAATGCGCCGGTGACAGCTGCTGCCAGCGAACACCTGCACTGGGTGGACGGGCCACCCCTGGGGGCAAGCGTGGCAAGCCAACGCACACTGGCACACGCACACACACAGACAGACACGGACACGGACATGCCACCCCCTGCCGGGGCCCCTCCTCGAAGCCAGGCAGCCACAGGAGGCACACACCAGCCCCCAACCCAGGGCCCAGCACCCATCTTTCCACTCACCCTTCTGCCCCCCATGCCAATCCGCTGGCTGCTCTCGCCAGCCCCAACCTGGGGCAGGTTTGGGCCCGCACAGCCCCATGCGAGGTGGCACTGGGGCCCCATACAGACCCATCAGGCCGGAGTCAGTGAAGGCCACCACGCTGGGAGCCTCTCATCAACAGGGCAGCCAGTGGGCCACGCTCGCAGACAGACGTGCCCTGTGGGCCCCACGGCTCAGGAAGCCCTGAGGTTCTCTGGGGCCATCCTGGGACCTTTCCACCGGGCCCCGCTCAACATGGATCAAAGACAGCCCCTCCCTCAAGCAACTGCCCATGGAGCTGCTGGAACATGGAGGGCAGCATATCTAACCCCGGCTCCAGGGCAGCTGCACAGAGCGGGGCAAGGTTGGGCCTGGATTGAGGACCTGCCTGTGTACTGAGGGGCTGTGATCCAACCTCATGGGCTGCCCCGGCTGCCAGCCCAGGGGCCAGCTGGCAGAGGAGCAGGGGCAGTCATGCCACGGGGCCCTTCTCCCCCTCTCCAGCAGGGCCTTGGTCTGCTTTGTGAGACACCGCACGGATAAAAATCCCCTTCACGCCCCGAGCATGGTACCTGGCAGAGCAGGATCTGCAGCACAGCGACTGAGGCTGCTCCCCCGCAGACCCTGACTCCACTCCAGCCCCCTAGCTACAGAAACCACCTCTTCATTAACACCAATGCCGGGGGGGCTGCTCTTGCCCCAGGTCCCCTCCAGCTTGGGGATGTTATGAAATCACCTTCCCCTGCCCCCCGCAAAACAGCCCCTGTGGTGCAATGGTGTGAGGGGCCTTTCCCGGCAGCGCTCTCTGGGCTGTAAAATCCAAGCCCGGCGAGTCACAGCAGGAACCTCTGGGACCCGTCTCACAAGGGAAATCCCAGGGCGCCAGCGGGGAGCAGACGCCAGCATGACCCACCGCCCTCTGACACTGCTGGGGGGGCGGGGCGAGAGCGCGGGCAGACAGACTTCCCCAGAACGCCGCCTCGGAGAGATGAGCTGCCCCCTCCTGCTATCTGACATGGCCGAAGGCCCGGGGGAACCCCAGCTCAGAGAGAGCGCTGTGAGCAACCAAATCACTCCAGGGCAAACCCAGCAGCTCTGTGTCTCGTCACACGGAGCGCTCAGGGACCTGCACTTGCCCCAAGTCCACCTGGGGCTCTGCCTTGGCCGTAGCCCCTCTAGGCACTCTCCCAGCTCTAGAACTGGGCCTTCCAGCCAGTGCCGAGACACAGACCTGACCCCGGGAACCTGCCACATGCCCTGCCGGGGCAGACACAATACACCGGGTCTATGACCACACACGCTGCTCCGGCAGCCTGGAGGGGCTCCTCAGAACACAACGCAGTGGGACTGGGATCGGTGTTTCCCCCCAGCTCAGTGTGCAGCCCCTGCCCCCATGCCACCAGCACAGGGCACGGAGCAGACCCCACAGCCCCAGGAGAGACCAGAGGCAATTGCCAACTCCTCCTGCAAAGGGCCCTGCGAGAGGAGGCCAATTATTAGTCCAGGAACGGGAGGACAAGGCAGGCCGTCCTCATGCACACATCAGCCGCCTGCCCAGGGAAGCAGCCAAGACCTTCTCCAGGGAGGGGACGTGGCTTCCGTCCCTGCACAGTGTGGCCACTAAGGCTTTCCCCGAGCCAAGGGCTGGAAACCCAAATATCTTCCCAATACTGCTGCCTCAACTCAGGACAGGCCTCAGAACCGCTCTGCTTAGCCTCAGCCCCACCCCACGGGTCTCTCCTGCAGCAGCCCAGCGCCACCAGCAGCATGCCCATGCTCCCGCCCGTTTTGTGGGGGAGGGAGGAAGCTGGGGAACACTAGGGCTGGAGCCAGGGCTGTGCAGCGTCCCCTCCGCCCCCAGTGTGTGGACAGCCTTGCACAAGGCCCTGAGGTCAATGGTGAGCTGGTGATTTCCCTTGTGAATGACAGTGGATGAAAGCTGTGTGGATCGAGCATGGGGATGATCCTGGCCCCAAAGCATGCCCCACCGGGTGCAGCCAGGAGTCACCAGGGCGCAGCGCACACAGGGCTGCCGAGGGGGAAAGAAAGAAGTTCTACGCAGGGTTCACTAACCCTCAGGAGTAGTTCGGAGAGAACCTCCCCTGGGCACTGCCACGCCCTGTGGGGATAGGCCTTTCAGTCACCTCTCGGGAAACAACCGTGCATGGAAAGGCAGTTCAGACTGGCAAACCTCGGCTTATTAAAGTGCCCAGTGAAGTTCTGAACAGTTGGTTACCTTTGGTGGCTCCTGCGGCCCCCAGATGATAAATGGCCCCCAGGACAAGCCAGAACGCCTTCTGCTCATCGCCGGAGATGCCCAGCACTTTCATGGCAGCCTGGAGCTTGCTGAACTGCTGGGCTGCCTTCTGCTTTTCTTCTGGCTGGAGAACAAGGGAACACGGTGCTGCTGCCTCAGTCAAAGGGGTGGCTTTTCTCACCGCTGGCTAACAGCCACCCGCTCTGGGCCAGAGCTCCAGCCCCCGCCCTGCTCCCCTCGCCCCAAGGCCAGGTCTGCATGGATCCCGGGGAGAGTACCTGGGCCAGGGCAAAGCAGGCGTCCTCGCAGAGGTCACGCTGCCCCCGTGAAGGACAGAGCGGGGCGTCCGGCACGTGCAGGGAAGGCTTTAGTTAAGCTTTTAATTAAAAATCTACATCAAAGGCTAATCCTGGGGCTCAGGTGGAGAGCAGAAGAGTAAACAGATGGCGCCCAGGCGACGGAGAGTCCGTTTCTCTGGGAAAGGCGGAGGCTTCGCAGTCACTGGGTTGCGTCGCTCTCCGGGAGCTGGCAGGCAGCAGCAGCCCCCAATGAACCGCCCAGGCCCCCCGGTCTCTGCAGCTGTTCCAGCAGCCCCACGGTGACTGTGTCGGCCTTGGACTTTCATCCAAGGGCCCCCCTGCTCAGCCGGGCCCCCAGGGCCCAGCCCATGCTGGGTCAGACCTGGGGAGGTGGGCCCTGCCCATGCAGGACCGCGCCCTCGTAACACCAGCCCCACCCGGCTCTGCCCTGAGTCACCTTGGACAGTGGCACAATCCCAAACACGTTGGTCTCTGCGAAGTGGCTGAAGTGAAGCTCGGTTCTGCAGGGAGAAAACACAGCGTTACAGGGCCGGCCTGCGCTGACAGGCCCCACGCCAGGGCCAGCTTCCCCCGAGGCCTGATTCAGCTCAACACACCAAGCCCTGTTCTCTGGAATAAGATTCCCTGCCGCAGGGCACGGAGGCAGCTTCCGGGACCCTGCTCTCTCTCAGACCCCTGCAGGCTACACAGACTCATGTCGCCACGTGCCTGATGGGGCAGCCAGCCCACACCATGCCAGCTGCACTGCCGGCCCCTCTCTGTCCCCTGCCATCTCCATGACGTCCCAGAGAGGCCCATGGGCTTGCAGCCCCGTACCCAGCGTGCCGAGGCTGGCTCTCAGCAGCGGGCGAAGCGAGCCTTGGCAGGGGAATGGCTGGAGCAGAGCTTAGAGACCCGCCAGCGTTCAGACCGTCACCACAGCAACGGACCCCATTGCCAGGGGAGGGCGAGAGGCAGTGAAGGGGCAGGTGGCGCAGGGCTCACCTGAGGGCATTGTCCGTGCCAGCCAGCAGGTAGTAGAAGACATTGAAGGTGGCCTCGTTGGCCGGCCGCTTGGTGACCCTCAGCTTCTCCAGCAGCATCGTCTGGGGACCAGAATGGAGACATTTGGGGCGGGGCTGTGGCACACTGCCAGCTGCCCACCGGCCAGGCAGCACCAGTGCACAGGCCCGGCTCTGTTCACCGAGGCTGGGCCTGCTGCAACAGCAGCCCAAAGCACCTGGCGCTGCTGGCCCCTTCCCCTCCCCCCTGACCTCCAGCCCTGCATTTTCTGACTCGTGGGCGGGCAGCACTCTGGGGCAGGGACCATCTCTGGGCTGCCTGTGTCTACCCGTGCCTGGTACAACGGGGCCCAAGGCCCTTCAGTGTTAGCCCAACAGACGCAGTCAATTACACCCAGCCTGTCTCTAGCAGGCACCTTCCAGCTGCCTCAGTGGGAGGTCAAATCCCAGTCACACGCCGGGTGCCGAGCTTTCCCTGGGGGCTGAGCTATTCTTGCCTGCCCGCCAGTGTCACAGAGTCCCCGGGCGATGCTCTGGAACTGCTCCCCACAAAGCTAGTCAGGACCTTGGGGAGCCTCCTCTCCCTCGGAGCAGACCGTCTTCAGGGCAAGAAGCTCACACGGCTTCACCTCCTGGGTCTCTCCTGGGAGCATTCAGCATATGCCCCTCCATGCGCTTCCCACAGCGAGTCCGCCCCGGCGGGGTCCTGGGGAAGCCAGAGGGTCCTGCACCCCCACTTCGCAGTCAGACGTGACTCTCAGCCAGCCAGTAAAACAGAGGTTTATTAGATGACAGGAACATCGTCTAAAACAGAGCTTGTAGGTCCAGAGAACGGGATCCCTCAGATGGGTCCATTCTGGGGTCCCACGAGCCAGACACCCCCGTCTGCACTCACTCCTAGTCCCCAGACAGCTCCAAACTGACTCGCCCTCCAGCCCCTCCTCCTCTGGGCTTTGTCCCTTTCCCGGGCCAGGAGGTCACCTGATCTCTTTGTTCACCTTTAGCTATTCCCTTGCAGAGGGGAAGGGCCTGGCCATTTGTTGCCAGGATACAAAGTGTAGGCCATTTATGCACACTGGAGACTTAAGACATGCATAGGGAAACTGAGGCACCCACACAGTATTCAGAGGAAACATTAAGAACACTCCCACTTTCTCACAGCCAGCAACTGCCTCTGCCCCATGCCCTGGTGACGCTGCCACGCCCCTGCCCCGTCTAACCCCAGGCCAGGGGTCGCTCTCATTGGGCGGCAGCTGATTATGTCAATACAAACACTGGTAAAGCGACAGAGTCTGAAGCCTCCTCAGCTTCCCTGAACCTATCTCCCCACAGCTGATTAGCAGCTCTCGTTACAGGGGCGTACAGAGGGACTTGGCTGAACGTTAACGGCTGCGCTCTCCTTACCAAGCTGGTGCCAGCTTTTATGAGTGGCGGAAGGGAGAGAGACGCCTTGTTACGGGAGACTAATTCCGCAAGGAAAGGAAATCAAGGCCGTCTGCGACACGTCGCCACCTAGCTGTGCTGTGCTCCAGATGTGAAGGAAGATGAGCACCAGCAAAGGAGGCCAATCATCACGGAGTGGATTTACCAGCAGTGCAGCTGCTGAGCGTGGCTGTGAACACGCAGCTCCGCTTTCAAGGGAGAGCCCAGGCAGCCTGCCAGCGCCAGTCTAGCCCCACACTGAGACCAGCAGGGGGCAGCTTTAGCTCCGATCTGGAAGGAGGGGAGTTCAATCTCCAGGCCCCAGTGGGTCCCTGGCTTCCTGCTGAGACTGCCAAAGGCAGCTCCCCATTTGGGCCAGCCACAATGGGGCTGGTGGAACAGGCCACAGGTCCTGTTAGGAGTCATGTGCCAGGGACAGCCCCAAGCTCTGAGCTAGGTACCAGGTCCCTGTTCTGTGGTCACTGCCCAACGCCATCCAGGCCCCCCAGCTGTACGCTCAGCACACCCCATGTGTGTTCTCCCCCCGAGCTCCCTCTCACCTGTATGGAGGCTGAGGCCACCTGGCCAGCCTGATCGAAGTCCAGCGAGACGATCTGGGAGAAGCGAGTGGCGTTGCCGTTCATACTGGTGCTGCTGTTGCCAAAAGCCTCCAGGATGGTGTAGAGCGCCTGCCACTTCTCCGCTGTGGGGACACAAGCAAGAGGGCGTGTGCATGGCCAGCCCCGTGGCCCAGAGGGCTGTGTTAGTTACAGAGCAAGCGCCTCGGTGTGCCCACGGTGCAGGGCCAGACTGGGCAGCAGCAGGGCAACCTCGCCACCCAGGGACCCCAGCGCCGCCCTAGAGGGAGCAGGTGCCCTTGGTCCGAGCTGTGCTCCCCAGCTCACGCCCGTGGCCAGGGACCCAGAAAGCAACCCCCCAAGCAACGTGGGGCTGGCAGGAGCCAGCAGGGCTGCAAGGGGCCCTCGGCGTCCCCTCTAGCTGCCCCAGGAGCAGTGTTGACGGGTCCCAGAGAGCTGCTAATAACCCGCCCGGGCCAGGTGTTGGCGAGAGCAGTGAAGGGCCCATCCAGGCTGCAGAAGCGTCGAGTGGAGCAGATCTCGGCAGGTCAGCGCTCTCCTATCGCCACGGCCCGGCCAGCACGGCTGGGCACTCACCTGAGAAGATCTTCCCCGTGCTGCCAGCTACGGTGGCCAGGTACTGGATCAGGTGCTGGCAGCAGGTAGTCTTGCCACTGCCGCTGCTCCCCAGCAGGACGATTGACTGATCCTGGCGGCTCATCAGCATGTTGCGGTAGGCGGCCTGGGCCACGGCGTAGATGTGCGGAGACATGTCTTCCCTGCGGCACCCTTTGAACATGTGCATCACCTGGGGAGAGTGCAGGGGGCTGGGTGACTTAGCGCGGCGCTGGCTGGGCCAGGCCACTCCCCCTCCAGCCATCCTGGGCGGGGCCCTCAGCCCCACGCGAATCGCTCCTTGCCCCGCTCCAGGGCTCCCACGGGCAGGAGCAGGAGCAGCGGACCTTACCCAACGCGCTGAGAGACGGATGGGACAGCAGGCCCACCTGCTGGCACCGTCCAGCAGGACCTCTCCTCAACACGGGCAATGCAGCCAGGAGAGAACACAGCCAATAACTGCACTTGGGGCTGTCCCTGCCCCCCACACTCGCAGGAGAGTCCACCCTCGCCCCCGTACCAGGAGCACAGACCCCCAGTGAGAGCCCAGGGGCTGTCCGCCGTGCCCGCGAGGCAGGGCAGCACTACCATCGCCGTTACAGACCAGCAAGCGGGGGAGGCTGGCGTCACCCAGGGCACGGTCGCATCGCTGGGAACTCAGCACTTCCTGGCTCCCAGCCCTGGGCTCTGTCCCCCGGGCACTCTTCTAGCCCGCTGCCGGTGGAGTGGGACCCCCGTGGATTGAGTGCAGAAGCTGTGACAAGGGTTAATGCAACCAGGCCCTGAGCTGCAGCGTTACCTTCTCGGAGTACATGGAGGGGGAGCTGAGCGGGTTGACGACCAGCACGGTGGGCCCCGCGTAGGTGTGGATCAGGTTACCCCCGTAGCGCTGGCGCACCGTGTGCAGCACGCTGGATTCATTGAGATAGACGAGGTTGGCCAGGTCCTCCACCCGGTCACAGGACGGCGGGTTCGCCTGGGGACACAGAGGGAACAGGCAGCATCAGGCAGGGAATCCCAGCCCCTACCCCACACAGCCCCTGCCACCGCAGGCACAGATCCACTTCTCGCCCACCCCGCGGCCCCTACTCCTGCCCTGCCCCCCAGCCAGAGTCAGGGCCCCGGGCTCCCACCTTCTCCACGTCATCCTCGTCCACTTCCAGCACGGCCCCATCGTGGTCCAGTTTCACCTTCACCTTCCCTTCGGGCAGGAGGCTCGCTTCATCCGCTCGCAGTTGGCTCGCTGCCAAGGGAACATGCCATGGCATGGGCAGGCTCTCCTGGCACCATAGCCCCTCGTGTCCCCCCCCCCCCATCTCTTCCCGTGCCCGGGGACACGCTGACACCTAGTGGTGGAGCTCTGGCACTGAGGCCAGGCTGCTCCTGCACACCAGGCCCCACTTCTTCCAGACAGCAGGACAGGGCACTCCCCTGGCCGCGTCTCCCCGCGCCGGCTGGAACCCGCTGGGCAGCACATGAAACATAGGTGGCCAGGGACCTGGCTGGTTACCACTTGCCTCCCTGAGCCCTGGCACGGGCATGGAGGCTCAGGAGAAGGCACCCCGCTCTCACGCTGCAAGGGCACACTACTGATACCTTCTGGAGCTCTGCTCTTCTGCCTGTCACCTGGCAGGTCAGAGCCAGGCTAGAGCTCTGCCCCGTGCCGTTAGCAGGTAAGCAATGCTCTGGAGAGCAGCAAGGGGGGCTGTGAGCAGAGCCGTGGTCTAGCCCCACTGCACGGCACTGCCCCAAGGAAGCCAGGGCCAGGGCCCCCCATGGAAGGTGAAGGACAACACTCACCCAAGGAGAAGCCATCCTTGTGGACCAGCCACACCTTGTCCGTCTCATACCAGGCCTCCTCGGCAGCAATCTGCTCCTCCGTCTTCGCCTGCCAGAGCGAGGAGAAAGGGGAAGAGGTCACGGCTCAGGCCGGGGGACTGGACTGGCCCAGGCCATCAGAGACTCCAGCACCGCCTCTCACCCTGCTGCCCTCCCCTCTCCCCACCCAGGCGCCCCCTGATCACCAGGACAGAACCCAGCCCTGTGCCAGGGCTCCCACCCAGGGAAGAACTCAGACCCAGAGAGCTCGGCAGTGACCAGGGGTGGGAAAGCTGGTCCCTGCTGTTCCACGTGACAGAGCCTGGCTCTAGCCATCGAAGGGAGCATGGCAGCACCCCTGCGCCACTAACAGCCAGCCCGGTCTGTGCAACACAAGCTCTCAGAGCAGCCACCCAACTCCAGCCAGCCTCACATCGGGTCTTGAACCAACACATCCAAGCTGAGTGTGCGACCCCCTCGCACCCCAGAAAGGAAGAGCAGGGCAGGGCAGCGGGGAACACAGTGCATCCTGCAGAGCAGAATGAACACGTGCACACAGGGAGAGTGCAGAGAAGGGACAGCCCTAAACTTCCAAGCCAAGTGAACAATGTATGCAGCCCCTGCCCCCCCCGCACAGGGCATGGAGAGCACCACGTGGCAACTCTGCAAATGGAGACACCTGGAGTGTCACAAAGCAACACCCCCACGGCCGTGCAAACAGGGCCTCACATAGACAGCTCTGGCAAACCAGGCCCGGCTCGCGGGACAGGAGAACTGCTGAGGGTGGGCCACAGGGGGGAACCAGGGGTCAGGCTATTTGGCAAAGCTGCCAAACAGTGGGCTCTGCTGGGTGGAGGAGTCGTCCCGAGGGCAGGCCCTGAACCTTGGAGTCACTGGACAGGGCCATGTTCCTTCAGGGAGCAACCCCAGGCTGGCCTGTGGAGAGTAGATTGGACAGGCCCAGGGGGCTTTTCCAGCTGTCCTGGCTAAGACCTTGTCCCACCAACGACCTCATGCAAACGTGCAGGGCAAAGGCCTCATGCAAACAGAAAGAGGAGGAGCAACACACCAGCACACAAACAAGGCAGTCCCCACCACTGCCCAGCATCAAGCAAATTCACAGACACTCCCAGAAACGTTAGTGTGGTCAAGCAGCCAAACCTGAGGCAGGGATGCAGCAGAGACTGGGCCCAACTTGGCTGCTGGGGCATCGTCCGCCTGTCCCTATTGAGGCCGATGGGGAAGCAAGGTGTAAAGGGTTAATGTCCTCTCCCCCCAGGGGAAGGCGCAGAGAGCAGGGAAGCCACTATGAGAAGCGAATGGAGGTGAATGGGACAAAACCTGCCGACCATGCAACGAGGGGCCAGTGGCACAGCGTCTCTCCCGACCCTTCGGCACAGTCAGCACTGCCCCGAGCACCCCCTGCCACGCTGCAGGAGAGTGTCCAGTGCCCACGCTGCACTCAGGGTGGCAGTGTCCTGCAGCCCCCACCCACAGCTCCCCTGCTCCTGGGCTGCTCCAAGGGTCACAATGAACAACAGTGCCCTGCATTTCCCAGCGCGCCCCCCAAGCGCTTTGCAGAGCTGGGCCTCTGAAGAGAGGCCACTGACCTGCCCACGGTCACCCAAGGAGTAAGTGGCAGACCTGGAGTGCGTCTCCCAGGCCTGGGCCTTGACATCAATGCTCTGCCCCACCACACGGGAGGCCTGGGGGCAAGCCCCCCTCCCTGCCTTGCTGTGCCCCCCAGTTATCCAATCCACAATTAGCCGGGAAAAGGAGGAGCCAGTGGGAAGGAGGGTCCCGCCTAGGCTAACAGGCAGGCTGCCCGGACGTCGGGGAGGAAGTGCTAAAACAGGCATGTTCTCCAGCACGTGGGGGAACCCTCACCCCCTGCTCAGAAGGGTGAATGGGACCCCCCAGCATTGCAGATTCTTGCTCCCCAAACGCAGCTGCGTGCGTGTCTGGGAGCGAATGTCACGGAGAGTCCAGCTTGGCGGCTGAACGGGCAAGAGGACAACGCTCCAAGACACGCACAGCCCAGCGCCCGGAGCGCTGCGGACCCCGCCCTCCCTGGGTGACTGCACAGCCAATAACAGACCAGAGCCCACTGGGGCTGGGCGATCGATCGCACTTGCACGTCCCCCCAGAGCCCAGGAGGGGATGCAGGTTTCACTGCTGACCAGCAGGTGGAGACAGAGACTGCACCTGAGGCAAGAGGCTCTCGATTGCCCATTTACCTGCCGGGCCGGGGAATGGAACCTGCCTCCCTCGCCCTGTCTACAGCTGCCCTCTGGGCTCATCAGACCAGCCCCGGCTCGGGAACCTCGTCCACACTCAGGTGTTTGCAGCCTTGGGGACCCAAGTCCCCGCTGGAGGTCTGGGGGAGTTTACTGCCTATACCACTCTGCTGCTCAGCCAGGACCTTCACCTTTGGGCATTTGTCGGTACAAGGAGCAGGCCAAGTGGTGGCACCCGTACAGTCGAGAGGCAGCCTACTCAGTACACAGGGCCTACAGCCGGGAGTCAGGACTCCTGGGTTCTCTTGTCAGCTCTGCCACTGACTCCTGGGGACGGACAGCCGGCAAGGGTGCGGCGTCCTTCGTCCCACTCACTGTGAGCAGGTGAGGACCTGGGAATGCAGCCTTCTGCAGAGACAGTTAACAGCTGCTCCTGCTCCTCTTGCCTGAGACTGTCCAACAGCCTCCCCATGCCCACACTGATCTGCATGTCTGTCCTCTGCTGCCAGCCCAGCGCCAGGACCGCACTCAGCAAGCTCACGGGCACCATCCCGGTGCAGAGCTCACACCTCCTGCTTTCCGGGTGGGAATAACTCCCACCCCAAGGCAACTCCTGCACAGAGGTGAACAAGTCAGGCTGCAGCCAGAAAGCCCCAGTGCACGAAGGCAGCCACTGGCCTGAGGGAGACCCACACTAGCTCTAGAAGCTTGGGGAGGCCAACGGTCAGCGGCACTGGCCAATGCAGCCTCCCGCTGCCAGGAGCCAGGCGGCCTGTTCCCCGCCCCGCCGTACGCGGCCTCCCACTGCCGGGAGCCGGGCGGCCTGTTCCCCGCCCCGCCGTACGCGGCCTCCCGCTGCCGGGAACCGGGAGGCCTGTTCCCCGGCCCGCCATACATGGCCTCCCGCTGCCGGGAGCCGGGCGGCCTGTTCCCTGCCCCGCCGTACGCGGCCTCCCGCTGCCGGGAGCCGGGCGGCCTGTTCCCCGCCCCGCCGTACACGGCCTCCCACTGCCGGGAGCCGGGCGGCCTGTTCCCCGCCCCACACACGCTTGCCTGGCTAGTAGGAGGAAAGTCTCACGGCTCATTAGTAACACACGAGCCCCCGCCCGCAGGTGGGCGGACTTGGGACTACTACAGAATGGCTCCGGAGCAGGTCTAGCTAGCACAATGGCAGGACTGAGCAGGGCAGAGAACCGGACGGGGCAGGCCGGAGAGGAGAGAGGTGAAGAAAGCCTTACACTCCAGCATGAGGCGCGTGCACAGACACCAGCCCAGAGGCAGACAGGCGACGGTGGGAGGTCACCGGTGGAAGCAGAGAGCTCCTGTGGGCAGGGGTACAGTACCTGACTCTGTGCTGACGGGGAGGCCACAGGCTCCAGCTAATGGCAGCAAGGCAAGAAGGGGAAAAAGGAGAAGAAAGAGGCTGAGATAAGCAGAGAATTGAAGGAAACTCACCCCGGCCAGCGACCCCAAACAGAGCAGGCGTGCGACTGCCCGGGCCAAAACCCCACATCAACATCCAACCACGCGCTGCTCCAACCAACCACCTCCCCACGGCTCAGGGGACACCACCACCCTTCTCAGGCCAGCGGGGCATCACTCTACCAGCAAGGCCAGCTCCCAGAGCCAGCCAACTTCTGCCGGCACCTCACATGGGCTCCGGCGTACGCGAAGGAACTGCACGGCTGTGTCTCAACGGAGCCTGGCCTCCAAGCCAGTGCAGGAGTCGCAGCAGCTGGCTCTACTCCCTGATGACGAAACCCCTCGGTGGAACTGCTAATCGCCTGGTATAGCCATGAGTGAGCCAACAAGGATGTGATGCTGGGCTGGGTCCACAGTGAATGGGTCTGACCCCAGGGACTGCAGCCTGCATCACAGAGCAACCCTGCCCCGGACCTTTCAAACCCCATCCCGCAGGGTACAATCCGCTGAGCCTTCCCCTACTGCAGGCCAGGTTGGGTTTCCAAGAGCCAGTGCTGCAGAGTGGATCCAACAAAGCTAGCCCACCTCTGACTCCAGCCAGCCACCAGCCTCACTGCTGGGCGGCCCAAAGCTCTCTCCTGGAGGAGGAGGAGGGTGGAGGAAGCAGGTCACCCACTGGTAATCAACGGCCCTGCTACTAATGGAACCACTCCTGGTGCTGACCATGGCCCGCCCCAGGGCGCTCACTGGCCTTTCCACCGACGGCTGCTCACCAGGGTCAGTACCAACCCTCTACAGGCTGCAGACCTGCCCGACTCCGGGCTGCACCCGTGGGCTGCGCTGCTCACTTGCCAGCAGCCCAAATGCCGCCCTGGTGTAAACCCAAGTGAGTAACTGCAGCTGCTGTCACCCGCCTCAGCGAGTGCAGCAGGGCTCGAGGCGCCAGGAGCCATTCGCTCACCCGCCAGGAGTAGAGGGCCCAGTAGGCCATTGGGGGCAGCAGGCGTGGGCTGCCCGTTGGCACAGGAGGGGTGACACGCTTCCTTCTCCAGGCTGCAGAGCGCCAGCAGCCTCACCCCAGTGTTACCCTTCCACACGTGGCGCAAGTCCACCTGGCCACGGCCTCTCCCCAACACTCCGCTAACTCCCACCCCCAGGAGTCAGAGGACAGGGTCCAGACAAGGGACGAGTGACCCGGGGCCCATGTCGGGACATCCCCTGCTGCGCTCTGGGTCACTTCCCACACCCCCCAGGTGCAGCAGTTGGTCCATGGCAGGCAGCTGAGGCATTGGAGAGGAAGCGCAGGACGCAAACGGGGGCCTCTCCTGCGTGGGCAGTGCCAGGATGAAAGGGAACGGCAGGCCCCCGAGCCGCACACACCCTCCTACGGGCAGTAATACTGGCAAGGGATAGAAGAGGGGCGTCCTCAGAGAGCAGAGCGCCGCTCCTACCCTGCCCGCTGGCCAAGCAGCCCTTAACCCCTGGGCTGTGCGCCCTGGACTTGTTGGTGTAGGTAGCTGGTGCTGATACGTATTTCACACAGCGAGGAAAATGGTTTTTGTGGAAGAGAAACCTGTGACCTGTGCAGCCAGATGTGGGGGGCAAAGGGGGATTTGATCAAACCAGGGAGCTCCAGCACACGACAGTGGAGGCTTCTCGCCAGACGAGGTACAGCGGCAGCACCCGCAGCCTCAGGGCTTAGAAGCTCCTGATGGCTCCCAAATGGCGAGGAGAGGTCTGAGGTGCCTGCCGGCAGCTCCCAGGCACACGGAAGAGCAAAGGGAGCGCGCCAGCCCACTCCCGGAGGCACTCCGAGTCAGAGCTGCCACACACCCGGGGCACAAGCAGCGGGGAAGCCATAGCACGCTGGCTGGGAGAGCTGAGCAGATGCATGTACACAGGTATGTAGGAATAACTCCTTGAATTACAGCAGCCATGAAGATCCTCTCCAGCCGTCTGTGAGCTTCCTCCACGGGGGTCAGCTGGGAACCGGGGCCGGCTGCAGCCTAAAGGTCAAACCAGCATTAGCGTCACCCTTCGTGCCACTCCCAGCCCTGAGCAAAGGAGGCAGCTGGGGACCTGGCTGTTGGCAAACTGCTGCGGTGCTTTGCCAAAGGCCGGCGGAAGCTGGCCTCCTTGGGCCCTCAGAGCTGCTGACAAATGCAGAAGTGTGCGTTTGCCCCCTGAACAGCATGGGAGTTCGCATGCCCTGCATGCTGCAGGGAGAGGGCTGGGGCAAGGCTCCCTCAGGGAGGTCTCAGCCCCTTCTCCCGCTGGGAAGAGCCAAGGCAGAGCCTGCAGCCAGCACTCCCCAGGGGGACCAAGGCGCACAGCATTCACAGCTCCCAGGCAAAGGCCTCACTGTCTGTCCGGGCTGGCGCACTGGCCCATCTGCCCACGCAGGGCACCGAGGGGGCAGCACTTGTAACACACTCCACCAACACTACGAACTAGCTGGGGGTTAACCCTGCGGAGCTCGCATGCTCACCACGCGGCCCGAGAGGGCTCCATGGTCCTGAGTCCCTGCATGGGGATCCAACCTACTGGCTGAGCAGAGGGGACGCTGGCCTGGCCCCCCACTAGAAGAGGCGGGGGCTTGCTGCAGTGCTTGGCAGCCGCTAAGGGCAAGGAGGAAGGAGGGGGCTGATCCAGCCTCCCAAGCTAGAGAGCCGAGGGGTTCGCCCAGCACAAGGGGCCCGTGGGGAAGGGTACGGCCAGTCACCCGGAGAACCAGTGCGTGGCATCCAGAAGCTCAGGCCCAGCGGGGGAGGGGGTTCGTTAACGCCCCCGGCTCCACTGGTTGCTGTAGCAAGACAGACTTGAACCACGGTGGTTAGCGGCTCCCAGGCCAACGCACATGGCGGCAGGGCTACATTTAACGCTGCATAGCAAAGGCTTCTTCAGGTTCCCGCAGAGTCTGCGTGTGCTCGAGGGCGGCGATACCAGAGCCAAGGGACTGCGCTTGCAAGCAGCGACCCTTCCGCACAGCCTGACCAGGCAGGCCGGGGCCCGGCAAACTTCCCTCGGGGGGAGAGGCTGGAGCCAGGCCCAAGAGCTGCCATGCAGGCAGAGCTGCCAGCCAAAGATCTTGGCTCTCTGGCCACATTTCTGGAAACACACCCGACACCAAAGCAATTGTCCCAGGAACACGCTAGTTACCGGGGGGGGAGCTCGGATCGTCCCCCCATACTAGAGTGCGCCCCGGGCAAACCAGCAGCACCCACCTGGGAGCGGAGCACTCACAGGAGCAGGCCACTGCTCAGCCATTCACAAGGAGGGCCTTGCCGCCCCCGAGTTCAGCACACGCCCAGGCACGGCCACCGCCAGGTGTGTTCTACCCGGCCAGGCTGGCACACTCTGCACAACTCCTGAACTAAGAGCTTAGCCAGCTACCGTCTCAGTGACACTGCCCAATGGTGGTCACGGGCCTTTCACAGCCCCCGACAGCACCGGCTTCCCGTCCCCAACTCCCCAACCCAGCAGCTCACCACGCACACCTGCTGGGGAGATCCCTCTGCGGCTCCTGGGGGAGGCAGCTGCTTCTCTGCTGGCTGGGGTTCCTCCATGGAGAGAGCCGGGTCAGACAGAGACAGGGACGCTGAGTGACTTGGGTTTGTCCTTCGGAGACCAGGCGAGGTTCCCCCCCACATGCTGGTCTGGGCCAACGCCCAGCCTCACATACGCTGCACAGCACACGTCAGGCTTTAGACTAACCAACATTTCACACCACACCGGGCTAGCACCAAAGGGGCCGGGAAGGGGCGTGTGATTAGGACGCAGTGCTGGCATGCAGGAGACAGGTCAGGTTCCTGGGGCAGAGGGCTCGTGGTGGCACGAACAACAGGGCCAAGCGCTCAACGCCTTGGGCAGGCAGGAACACCTGGCTCTGCAGCGCCCCCTCCTGTCACTCTGGGAGTGGCAACGATGGCTCAGAGAGAGACCTGGGGAACCGACTCCCAGGTCTTGAGAAATGAACAGCATCTGCAAGAGGTTCCCAGGAAGCCCTGGGGGTGGCAGGGGTGTGCTGCTCTGAGCGAAGGGGAAGTACTAACTGTCCCTGGTTTGGAGCAGCCAGGGCAGGGCACCTGCGTCCTGCACAAGGACCTGGCTCCCCCAGGAGATCCCAGAGGTTCTGCCCGTTGGAGGAAGGGGGCAAAGCCTGCTCTGCGAGCCCCCCCCAGCGCAGCGCCCTGGTGGAATGAGCTCTGTCCCTAAAACACAACCCCGAAACAAATTGTTCAGAGACTCGCTACCAGACAGAGCTGGGAGGGGAAAGGTCACAGCTGACTGCTGCTGGACCTCACCCCTCTCCTTATGGCATACCCGGAGCTCAACAAGGGGAACGAACAGCCACAGGGGCTCCCATTGCTGAATAGCCACAGGGCTCCTCCTCCAGCCCTGGCTCGCAGGCGAACCGGAGCAAGCCCACGCGTTGGGACAGGTCCGATAACAGGCCCCGTGCACTGACCTGGGAGGAGCAGCACCAGCACGGGGCTAGGAACACGCAGTCAGTTAGTGAGCAGCTCACACCATGCACCTGTCACCAAACAGATCGAACTGGCACGTCCTCGCACTCCTGCGAGGAAAAGCCATGCACCGCACGTGTGCACGGACACGCACCCGGGCCCTGGGTGTGTGCTGGCAGCGATCACCACGCTCAGCCCCGCGGCACTCACAAGCAGTGTTAGGAGTGACAGGCCCAGACCACACGCCGGTGCCATGCATCACCGGTCTAGACTGCACACACTGGTGCGTACCTTGGCTTGCCCCAGGGCAGCTGCTTTCTGAGGTGCCACTTGTGTTGGCTCCACTTTGGCTCCTGAGGGTTGCACCGTCTGCTCTGGCTTTGCTTTGGGGTGTGGGGTGGCGACTGGCCCTTCCTCCTGCGCAGGAGACGGGGAGCCAGGCTTCTCGGGTTCCTTCCCCACTGCGGGTGTTTTCAGCTTGGGAGCTTTCTCCTCCGCTGGCCTGAGGCGAGGCCTGTGCTGTTTGGTTTTGCCTCGGGACATCAGGCTTCTCAGACCCACCGAGATCTCATCCTTGGGGCCAGTCTCCTTGGGCTCCGGCTTCGGGGAAGACGCAGGCAGTGGAGGTGGAGACACCACCCTCGGTGGCGCCTTCTCTTCCTTTTTGGCTGGCGAAGCTGGCTCAGGAGATTTCACGTCCCTCCCCAGCTCCTTGGTGCTGCCAGAGTCCTCACCAGGCAGGACTTTGCGCACCACCTTCCGCACCACCCTCACCACTCTCTTCCTGGACAGGCCCTGGCTCTCCGCTCCCAGCGGCTCGGGCTGGGCCAGCGAGCCAGCCCTGGATCCTTCCAGGCCGTTCATGGTCTGGGCAGGTGCGAGGGAGGGCGGCTGGTTATCACCGTTGAGCAGCGGCTCTGGGCTCTTCACTCTCTCTGGACACACTGGAGGCTCTGGGCTTCGGGAAGCGGGTGGCTCGTCTTTCCCTGCATTTGGATTTTCTGACTACAGTTACAAATACATGAGCACATTACAGGAGGACATCCCCTTACTACAACACACACACATGCACACCGAGACCTCGCTTCAGCAGCTAACCCAGCCCCAGCCCCCCCTGCAAACCCCTCCAGTGCATCCACATCGCAGGTGACAGAGAGGAGAAGAGTGTTCTAGGCTCCACCCTGCACCCACTGCCATCAGCAGCAGTTCTGCCATCGGCTGCAATGGGTGTAGGACTGGGCCTTGGAGCTACAGACGCTTTGTTTAGTGTTCACGGTTTTCCCAGGCCAGGACAAGCTTGTTCTGAGACCTCGCCATGCGGCATGGCTTACAAAGAGCACCGGTAACAAAGCTGCACCCCTCACGGAGTCCAGACCAGCCACTGCTCTGCAGGGCGCTCCCCAAGGACGGGTTTGGAAAAGGAGCCACGGTGGATGGCTCCGTCTGGAGAGGGCCTTCTTCATGCGCTGCTGCTTTGAGCTCTAGCACCAGGGCTAACGGAAACACTCCCAGAAAGTTTCACCACATCTCCAGGTGCAGGCAGGCAGATGATGAGGTCAATGTGCGACCCTGCCTGCTGGGGCGTCTAACACCACAATGCTGGGGGACACCTCCCCGCAACAGGGGAGAGGGGCACCCGCAGCACAGGGCATGGAGGACAGTTGGTCCCCCACCTCCTGTAAGGGCCAGTCAGAAACCTCTCCCTGCACTATAACTGGAAGAGACAACCTGCAGAAGACAACTCCCACCTGAGCCTAGACCCGCAGAGCTCCGCCAGCTCTGGGCTCAGTGGCTCAAAGCATGTACAGATGGTTGGGGCTCCTGTCTCCACCATGACAGCACCAGGACGCGCACACAAGTCCTGCACGGGTTGGGGGACTCCTCTCAGAGGTTTATGTTGCTGCCAGACTCCAGCGGGACCAGCCCAAGACGTGGGCATTTGAGCCTAACATAATTAATTCAAGGCCTCTGCTGAGACTTTCCATGGTGAAGGAGGCGGCAGGGCTGGGTTTCACCCTGCCCCAACTGTCTGCAGAGAGGCAGGTGGATAAGAAACCTGGGAGCTGCCAATTCCTTGGCAAGAAGGATAAACAAAGGGCTTTGAACTAACTCCTGGAGCCAAGTCCTGTGGCGTCAGTTCTGCATCATGTCGTTAGTGATGGCTGCAGCAGGAAAACCAAATTACTGAGAAACACCCTGTCACGGAGTCCCCAGGAGATGCTCTAGAACTGCTCCCCACAAAGCCAGTCAGGACCTTGGGGAGCCTCCTCTCCCTCGGAGCAGACTGTCTTCAGGGCAAGGAGCTCACCGGCTTCACCTCCTGGGTCTCTCCTTGGAGCATTCAGCATATGCCCCTCTGTGTGCTTCCCACAGCGAGTCCGCCCAGGCAGGATCCTGGGGAAGCCAGAAGTCCTGCACGCACCCCCACTTTGCAGTCAGACGTGACTCTCAGCCAGCCAGTAAAATAGAGGTTCATTAGATGACAGGAATACGGTCTAAAACAGAGCTTGTAGGTACAAAGAACCAGACCCCTCAGCCGGATCCATCCTGGGGTCCCGCGAGCCAGACACCCTGTCTGCCCTCACTCCTAGTCCCCAGCCAGCTCCAAACCTAAACCCCCTCCAGCCCCTCCTTTCTGGCTTTTGTCTCTTTCCGGGGCCAGGAGGTCACCTGATCTTTTTGTCTCCAACACCTTCAGTTGGTACCTTGCAGAGGAGGGGCCCAGGCCATCAGTTGCTAGGAGACAGTGTGTCGGGCATTTATGTACACTGGCCCTTTGCTCTGCAGCAACTATACACCCTTATTCCACCACCTAGATACTTAAGAACTGCATAGGGGAAACTGAGGCACCCACACAGTATTTAGAGAAAACATTAAGAACATTCCCAGTTCGTCTCACACCCCTAGGCCCAGAGGTCTGCTCTTCCCATCCTGCCAGGAACGAGTGGCTCACACCCATCCTCCCACACCCACCAAGATCCAGGGGGGGAGAGACGCAAGATCCTGGGCCAACATAGATCCCGCTGGGCGTCTCAGGCTGCTGCCCTAGTCCTGTCTCTGTATGCAGTTCATTTGGTGACACAGCTGGTCCTGACCATGCCCCTCACCTGTCCCTCATACGCACCTGCCAAGACCTTTGTCTGTCACTCAGCTCTGGGCTGCTCTCCCTGGGAATGGTTTACAGCCCCGGTCTGAGACTAATGGAGCATGTTACTGGTGATAGCGAAATGGATCCCACTAGCATGGTGCTGCCCCTGTTTGATCGCTAGGTCTCCAGCCAGCAGCTGATACTTTGGAGAGGTAGGAACAGAGCCAGCTAGAGTCTGCATTTGGGCTGGTACCATGCAGGGCAGCATCTCCCAATCCCACCGCAGTTTTCTTTTCCCTAAATGCTGCCAATACTGTCCCACCGTTCAAAGCTGAGCGCTCAGAACAGCCCCTCCAGCCTCGTGCAGGAAGCTGCGTGCTCCATTTCGATTTCAAAGGGGGGGGGGGAATCAACCTGGCCAGCAGGGGTGCGGCAGCATATTCACACGCTCAGCAATTCTCCCTGCAAATCGGTGCCCCACTCACAGGGCACGCCTTGGAATTGCCTTCCCAGCTCATTTACCATCGCGTAGGACGTTAGTCCTCATGCAAACCACACAGGAACCTCTTATCGACCCCCAGACAACCCCACCCCCCATGCTCCAATTAAAGCCAACACAGGAAAGAAGAGATGTGCTGAAGGTGGAAAGAGACCAGCAAGCAGCAGAGCGCCTGTCTGAGTGAGCAGCCAAGCCCCCAACGGGTTAACCTTGCACAGCAGGTGGTGACAAAACTCAGGTTAAAGAGACCCTGTTTGTGTCACCGCTCCTAGCCGGCGCGCATGCCGGTGAGATCTGAAGCAGGGATAATACATTAGACTTGAATCTAGCCTCCTTAACAGACTGCACTGCAGCACAGCCTGCCTTGAGAAGCACTCTGCAGCAAGTTGATGGGAAGGCAAAGCACTCACAAAAACCGCCTCTCTGGGGGTGCCCACTGTGCACTTCACTCCCCACGCCCCAGGCCCCTGCAGGAAGGACAGGGGCCCACAGCAGAAGGCATTCAGAGGGAACAGGGCTTGTGACAGCTCAAGTGAGGCAGGTGAAGGATCCCTGCTCTCTTGTGTACCAAGCTGCTCCCAAGAAAGCCAACTCAGCTCTGTGCCTGGACTGGATGTGCCATGACTGCAAATACCTTACGGGCAAAGCCCTCCCTGGCGAGGGACAGGGATCCCCGGAAAGGCGAGCCGCGTCCCACAGCCCCTGGACTCGGCGGCGATCGGGCGGCCGGTCTGTGCCGAGTGGCTGCCAGCCAGCCCTCTTGTCAGCTGGGGAAGAGCAAGCGCGCGGAGGAGCTCCTAAAAGGTCAGCCAGCAGCAGCCCACATGGGATCAACGTTCCCAGCGCCAGGGACCTGCCTGCTGATACCGCATCAACCGAGATGTTCGCTGATCAATGCCACTGAAGTGAGAGGTGACACTGCTGGGTGTCAGAGGGGCAGCATCTCCACAGCTCCGCTACCGCAGCCTGCGCTCTGTGTCTGAATAGCGGGATGGCTCTCTGGACGCGGGACTGGAGGAGAGGAGGCTGCACCCAGCCCAATCTGCCAGTCATGCAGATTAGTGATGATGCTGTATGTATCTTTCTGTAAAGTCACTTTTATAGCGATACAAGATGAGCTGGGACTTTCGTAAGATTACCGCTTTACCAGCGCTGTTTGTCATTTCTTTCCTCTGGAGGGGTCCCACAGAGCTTTGCTAACCACCAATATACAAGAATCACTTGATCCACCTCTGGGGAGGAGCCGAACAGCTCATGCACAACAACAGAGGAAAGAAAGGAGAGTTTGGTGTGGGGACAGGAGGCACCAGGACACTGACGGAGCATGTCCCAGGACCTTTACTAGCCCTGCACAGCAGAGCAAGCCTGGGCTCTTAAGGGTGCATGTGAAAGACCATCCCAATAACCTGCCACCACTCCATGGATCGGCCTGGTGAGGAGCACAGAGCGACCCTGCTGGGACGTGAACCACTGCTTCCAGCGGCATCGCATCTGAGCCTTAGCGCAGCAACTAGCCATCCCCTCTCAAGTCAGCTGATGCCCTCTCCTTCGGCTCCACCCTCATTAGCACAGAGGGATCTGCCCCCAGCCCCTGGGGTCAGCATCCTACAGGCAGTACGTGAATGCAGAATGACATGCCAACTTGCTCAGCGACCACTTCTACCTGCATCTCATGCTCAGCCAATCAAATCCCCGTTCTGCTTCCATCCCGTCTCCAAGGTAACCACCCCGCAGCCACAGAATCACACCGCCTGACCCCGATAAGCGGGCACTAGGGAAGGGGGGCAGGCTGGCCTGATGGCTCAAAGCAGCACATGGCAGAGGCAGCCTGGGCACTGCCACATGGGATTCACCCCGTGAACCTCTACAGGCCTCTCGGGCCTACCCAGGGGTGTGACCAGCTGCCCCCAGAGGGAGCCGCACCCAGCCCACTGCCCCTGGGGAGCGCGGCTTCTCCTCACTGGAGAAATCCTACCCTCAGAAAGGAAAAACAGCAGCAGCTTTGCTGAACCAGACGCTCACCACCTTGGAGGGGTAACGTCGCGGCCCCCAGAGCCAGAAGCAGCCCGCCACCTTGGGTCCACTTCTTTGTCACCAGCAGTGCCAGTACCAGCCCAAAGAGCGAGCTGCCCATCAAGCAGAGTCGGTCTGGTACCAGCCGTCAATGGCCTTTGGGTCTCAAAGGAGGTTATTGGGCCTGTGAGTTAGCACGAGCTGGATGCATCACTCAAAGCTAGCCCCCCGATCCCACAGACACTTACTGCCCCATCCTCTTTCCCAGTTTTTTTCACAGATAAATCTTTGTCCTCGTCCTTAACCTGGGGGATAAACAGAGAAGAGGGGCACATTTCAGTCAGAGCTCTCAAAGGGACTTCCAGAGTTTCTATTGCACACAGTTTGCACTAGCACGTGCTGAGCACACAAGCGTGGCCAAGATCAGAGCTGTGGGGGTGAAGCTGCTTCCAGAGACTTCGGCTCACGCTGCTCCCATTCTTGTGCAATTCACTGCTGCGACCACAAGAGTCGAAGCAGAAGCAGAACCTTTGGAACTCACCACTGCAGGACGCTGGGGCAAACAGCTTAGTAAGGTTCAAAGATGACAACAGTTATGAGACCAAGAGTAGCATTAGCAGATATATTAGCGTGGAGAAAGTTACAAGGACTACTGATACTCATGCTTCAGAGCAAAGAGCGGCTGCTTGTGGGACTCAGGAAGCAACAGCCGCCCAAGAGATGCCATTACACAATGGAGTGTGTTGGGGGGGACTTTTGTGCCTTCCTCTGAAGCATAGGCCATGGCAAAGCCACGGACCCTGACAGTGCATTCAGCACACAGTAAAGCTTATGGCTCCCCGGACATTCACAAGCATTGGAGAGGAGTGCAAAAATGTTTCCCAATTATTTCAAAATCAAAAACCGCACCGGGCCTGCTGAGGGGGAGAAAGC